AGAGAGGATTTATCGGTGGATCCAATCCACAGTTTCAATGACGCTGACAGGCAACAATTTTTATGTGCGCTTCAAGTGCATCCGGACATTCATTCATTTATCTTCATGGGCCCCAACGATTCAAAGAGAAAAACAAAATCGCCTCAATAGTAAAATACCCGTTTTTGGTAATTAATGAAAAATCATCAGCCGAGTAAATGGAGCGGCTTGAATGGCTCTCAGATTAGCTAAAGAGCTGAGCACCACATCGAATTAAGCCCAATAAGGTAATGCATTTGCGATATGCCGGAATCGACTTGAATGCTCGCTTTTCACTTAAGAAAATAAAAGAATACGCTTCACTCGGTTCGAAAAGAGGTTGGAAATTCCTTATTGCGCTCGGTTTCCATTGTTTACAATTAATTTCCACTCTGGCTCATTGTCTAAATTCCAATTGATTTGTATTGATTGATATACCAATCGATTGAAGGTGTGTGCACAGCGACCTAGTTAGCTTTGTAGAAGAGGATTTTGCACACCATTGGAATTCTTTCGAGTCTTTTATAATTATAATCCTAGTTTTATCTTTTACTGCATTTCCTCTTGGGCGAACCTTTATTTCTCTACCAGCTCTTTGGGCTAAATCTGGATGATAAATCGGCTATAGATTTTTCGTCCGTTCCATTTTCACCGAGCCAATCAATTTCATGTGCCATGGGCGCAGTTTGTTTAATTAACCAGTGCCTGCAATTTCCACAATGACTTTTGGCGCTTTTCATTCCGCCAGTTTGCCAGTTTGCGCTGCCATTGCTGTCGAGTGTGACTTCTCAAGCGTGTGACCGGAGGTGAAATTTTTATTTCTGATTTTTTGGCATTAGGCCCGCGAACCAAAAAAGCCGGGCTGGCTGAGGCTGAATAGCCGACTATGCGATGGCGATAAATGTGCGGAGATACGTTTCAGACCGCGTCGCGTCGTCTGGCCGCTTTAAATGGACAACTGGGAGTGGGTCACAGCTGCAGCTGGGGATCTTTGGATCTGCGGTGCAGCCTGCGGCTCGCCGAGGCAAACGGAGCGATTATAGGGACCCAGACGACTTGGGACTAAGCCTTCCACAAAACCAGTTTGTCTTTCCAGCCAGACTCTCCAGCGATTGGCGGCGTTTTCGATTCCTTCTTTCGGAGCGTTAATATTTCAATTTATTTATTGGACATGCGTCTTCCAGCATCGCATCGTTCTTCGAACACTTTCTTTATATTCGTTTATATCTACATGTGTCGTGTCTTGACCAGAAACCCCAATATCTTGGTCTTGGACCCGCAAGCACGCAAAGCCGGACCAAAATGTGTGTCAATGGCCTTTGGGGGCCCTTCTTTTTATTATTTTGTTGTTTCTTTTTGGGGGCGGGGGCACAAAGTCTGGGGCGTGTCCCATGCGGATTTTCACCGAAATGAAAATTAAGAGTGAAAACGGTTTGGGTTTCTGTATTTCTGTGTTTCTTTTTTTGCAACAAACAAAGCGAAAGAGGTGTGTACGCTGCCGATTCCAACTGCAGGCCATGCATGACCCTCTCGTATTAGTGTCCCATCCTCTAGCCGCCCGATTGTCATGCTAAATGGGTGAAGTGAAACTACGACTGCGATTTCGGACTGGCGGGAGCATTGGCCAACTCCCCAAAAGAGCCATTGCCTGTTTTCAGCTTTTTCTTCTCCTACTGTCAACTGTCAAACGAAATTTACACGTTTTCCATCCCAGCTGCACCTCACGAAAGTCGAGACCTGAACAAAGAAATGGGGAGTGCGTGAGGCTCTCTTAACTGATTGATTGTTTTCGTAAAGTTTGCATGTTAATTGCCTTTATGGTGGCGATAGACGACAAAGCACACTTAAAAGTCTGGAGACCCATTACCGAGTTCATTGGAATTTTCCTTTTATTTTATCAGTCGTGTCAGTCCGACTCATTTTCTACAAATTAACATGAAAAGCAGTCACCATGGCAAAGACAATGGTAGTGAAACAAGCGGTGTCTACATTTAATATACATAAATTCTATACTGTGTGTGTTGGCAGAGCGCAGGAAGATCACTGCTTTACAATGAATAAACCTTTTATGTTATATATTGACTTACGAGAACTTGTAAACTACAACGACTTTAACCTTTCTTAAGTATTCTATCGTCATTCAAAATAAGTTTGAGAAGGTTAAGCAATATCATCCTCTGAAGGCAGAACGGAAATGGTCGAGGCTGCCCCAACAATTCAATTAAGCCAGCTCCTCTTGCAGATCTGAACGAACGGGCTCCTACCTGCTGGCCCGGCTGGCTGATGAGAATTGAAAACAAAATAAAGCAAAACAAACAGAGCTTAGACAACTCACAACAAACAATGCGGTCGTTGGACGCGCAGGCGCGCAGCGGGGGCGGTTAATATGCAGCCAGCGTAGCAGGAAAGTCGGGTGAGCAAGTCGGAGATATATACCCATACCCATATCCAAGCCTTATAGACAGCAGCAGCAGCTGGCGTCTTTCATTCTTGCTGTCGCTCAACTGATCAACTGGTTTATTTAACAATAAAAACAAAGCTCAGGCGGCGTTGGCGTTACTTTAACGTTTAACAGAAACCAAAAAGTTGCCGTCTTTTTTGTTGCTTCTCTCACACGCTGCCATCGCATCGATTGTCGGGGCTTGGCTTTCTTTGAGGAAAAAATAAAATAAAAAACATACTCGCATAGAAACTATAAAAAATGGTAATTTGTACGCTTTACCTTTTTCTCCGCTTCTTGCTCAATCGTACGTCTCACACGCGCTTCTAATGCCTGGATAGTATCCAGTGGATACGATACCTAAGCTCGTTCATGATGATGATGGCATATAAAAAGCTACACGAGTTTTTCAATTGACTTGGAAAGTGGCAAGCAACTGGCGGCGTGCATCGAATGGGGCGGACACCAGCGAAAAGTGGGCGTGTTGGGCAACAACAATGGCCCACTGTTTTTGGCTCTCGGCTTTGCCACACTTTTGATGAATTAGCCGTTTTTTCCATCGAGTGTCGGGGGCTTGGAAAATTGAGTTGCAGCTGCGGCACTTGATGGAAAACGCTGGCAGGGGGCCGAGGAAGTTCATTGAGCCGGATCATACCCAGCTGAGACTCATTAAAACACCACTTGAACCACGCTTCGTGTTATACCGCCTCTAAGTGCAGGTCAATAAGTGGAGTTGTTGTCTGATTTTCGACTCCAAGCCTATTGATGACTTTGTGCGATGCCGTTGGACAGAAGTGGGAGAGAGAGCTTGATTGATGGGCCTTGTAAAGCAGGGTAATTGATTTAATTACAAAAAAGAAACATAAAAAAAGTACTTCCCATACCGGGAATCGAACCCGGGCCTTCTGGGTGAAAGCCAGATATCCTAGCCACTAGACCATATGGGATATGCTCTTCTTTCTTCCAACTTATATAATGATGCTGGCCTCCACCTACTTGCAAATAGTACACTCAAGTATTCTACCAGGAATTTTGTGCCTTGTTAAATATGAAATTAAAAATAGATATTTTCCACAAGAGACTTTGTGACTTGTTCTAAGGGCAGACTAAGTGCACACTTTAGCCGCCGTTCAAGCAAGTCCCATATTGTCTAGTGGTTAGGATATCCGGCTCTCACCCGGAAGGCCCGGGTTCGATTCCCGGTATGGGAAACTTTTTTGCTTCCCTTTGTTTTTTTTTTTTTGTATTTAAAATTATGTTTATTTAATTGTATGTTTTAAAACACAGTTTTGCATGAACTTATAGAAGCAAAAAAACAATTAAAAACGGCAGCAAAGCAAGCTAAGGCAAACGTTTCAAACGTTTGCGAACAAAACGAGTCTTTGCTGCTTGCCATTCAGCCTCCCATATGGTCTAGTGGCTAGGATATCTGGCTTTCACCCAGAAGGCCCGGGTTCGATTCCCGGTATGGGAAGTACTTTTTTTTTTTTTTATTACTTATTTTTAATTGTTTTTTTTTATTAGTAAAGGATAAACTTATGTTTGTTGATAACCCAAATCGAAACACATTAAAAATGGATTTTTCCCGTCAACCACCAATGCGGATGCTAATCGTATTGCAATAATGCCTATCGGTAATTACTGAATTTATAGTTGTTTTGGCTTTTCTCGTGTGCTTTATTTTTATTTCTCCTTCTCAATTGCATAGCGCCACCCAATTGATGCCAATCGGACACGCTACGAAATAATTTGAGCACTTTTTGAGGGGAAAGAAATGCCGTTGCTTTTTGTTGGGCCAAGATGTCAATTGTTGATGCCTGTGCTTATAGAGAGAAAAAAAAAAACCAAGGAGGAAAAAAAAACGGGTTTGTTAACGACGGGCAAAAGCTCAAAGAGCCAGAGTACTTAACTTTTGTTAAACCGAAAATTAGGCATGCCCAGCATTGCAACATATACTGGAAACAACAGCAACAACGACAATAGCCTGCCGCAAAACGTGTGGCAAGCGAATGGCAACAACAATAAAATAGACACAATGCCTTGACTGAGTTTTTAACGTTTTTTTCTGATTTTCTTTTTTTCTGTAGATACGGAAAATTGCTTTTTCATTGTTGCAGAAACCAATGTTTGCCTGTTGTTGCTTTGCTAGATATTTACAAGCTGACTTGGCAAACGGAAAATCAATTTTTAATTGCAACAAATTTGAGAGAGCTAGAGCTGCGGGACAGGCAAATTGCGAGCTGGCCAAAAAAGGCAAATTAACGTTAACGTGAACGAAAACAATTGGCATTTTGAGTCAGAAACGAGTTTAACGGTATCGAGCGGCAGCTGGCTGCATTATCTTTTGAGGAAACGCGCCGAAACATGTCAAAGGGGGACAGCAACAATATGTCAAAATCTCGATGAGCAGCGCAATGAACCGTTGTAATTAGCATACGGCCGTGTGCGTGCGTGCAACAGAGAGGACAATAGAGGCACTTTCGATTATTGAACTTGTCAAATTCCCTGCTCATTTTGTTTATTATTTCGATTTTCTGCTTACCTTTTCGTTTAGCGATGTTTTTAGCTGAAAATCTTCTCCTTCCTGGTGGTGCCAAACCGAAAAACAAGCGAACAATTAATTTCATTAGAAGTATCTAACAAATGCGAATTCAACACGATATAGTAAAACTACAAAAAAGTGTCTGTAAACAAGATAAGCAACACGGCGCGGGAGAGAGAGAGGGGGCACGAGAGAGAGAGGGAACCGAGAGAGACGCAAGTTGTTGACGGAAACTCCTGTCGCAGCAGCAACAACAAAAATAACACGGCGACATTTACAGGCGCTTTATTGATTTTTTACAAAACAACTAATCGGGCAAGAAGCGTGCCATTTGTATTTCCATTTGAAATTCGCTTTTCAGCTTACTTTCGCAATTATTTTATGCACAGAAAAACAGAGCACAAAAGAATTTTGCACACCAGCACAAGCTCAAACACACACCCACACACACACGCGCCGCGACTTCAATGTCAACTTCACTTCTTTTTATTTAATTGCTTGCCTTTGTGCTTTTCGATCTTTTTTTAAATATTTAGCGGGCAACTAGCTGCACTCGAATTACCCGTCAATCTGCACAAATCCACGCGCTAGCAGGTCGAAGAACACACAATCATCCGCTACTTCACTTTTGGCCAAGCGCGCTTTTTCCACAGCTGTTTACCTTATAAACGATACAACGATAGCGATAGCATGAACTTCGATTCGCCAGCCTATCGGTTTTGTCCAGGGAGGTGTGCAACTAGTTCTGCCAATCGAACTAGTTCGTAATGCGAAGTGATTCAAAAATAAACCGAAATTTAAATCTGAAAATTAAACCGTTATCCAATAGAAGAGAATTTTAAATTTCACCAATATTTAGTAGAGAACATGTGTGCAATCGGCGAAGACTAAGACTTTTAAATGGATAATATACCCAAAGCAACTTGTCCTTGTGAGGGAACAAAAAAGATAACCAAGACCAGAATGCTACAATTTAAGAATAATAATGAGAAAAACAAGGTAACCAGAAACAAAAGAACCTTTCTTAAGAAAATTGTCAACGTATTTTATAAGTAAACAATATAGGAAGAATTATGCAGATATTGTAGCAGTTTTCTACTGAAGTTGTTTTTACATGTCAAATTACATTACATTCTACAAGTTCAAGAAAAATATCTTTGCGGTTTATTTTGAATTAATGTTGGCGATTCATCCTTTGCTTTTTGCGTTTGATTACAATGAAATAAAATTGTTCTGCGAAAACTAATATCAAAACATCATTAAATTTTTGTGTACACATTTTTGCAATTTGCAGTAACTTTTCATTTATTTAAAATCTTATTCTAACAAAACTTTATTTTTCTGTACGTTTTCCTTCGTTGGATAAGTTTAGAGGCCAAATGTAAAAAACATTTTTTTTATGTTCTAATTAAAATTAAAGAATCCATTCCTTTCCGACTCAACCCGAGTTCCTGTGCCGCCGCCTGAAGCAGTGATTCACATTGGGCTTGACACCCTGACAGCGGTTGTTCCAAGCCACCCAGGCGGAGAATCCCTGCTGCTTCCTGATGTACTTGGCACAGGCGATTGAATACCGGATATCGTCACTCAAGAGCAGGCGGCAGGGCAGTCGACAGAGGTCGCTGGATGGACGTCCATCCGCTGGCTTGCACCAGTAGCGATCATTGATCTGGAAAAGGCCCCAATCCACAGAACCATCCACGTTGGATGGATTGATGGCCTTCGTGCTGAAGGAACTCTCGCCCTCCACCAGGCACAGCCAGTCGGGTAGCTCGTTGTAGGGCATTCCATAGCGATAGAGCTGCCGGGCCAGACTGCATCTCCCCACCTGGCGTCCATTCACCAGTGATAGCGATAACGAGAGAACCAGCAGCCAAATGGGCCACATCTTCGGAAACAATGAGCGGGCTCTAATTGGAGCCAGCGGCTTTTATAGCCACCCAGCATGGTGGTTCGGGCCAATCTAATTTTTACAAGCACTCATTTGGACAGCTCTGAAGTGTGGCCCACACTCGAGCATAAATTATGAACACTGGGCGACAAATTTCAGAGTGCTATATGCTACTATAATGTGTTTATTATTATTCTTAAGCTAAAGACAATATGGCTATTAGCATTTAAATCAAATGAATAATGACACTTGTTTAAGGAATTTAACAAAAGAAGATCAGGCATGAAATTATAAAGAAGAAGATATCGAGACCGACATTAGTGAAGTTTACTATAATACTAAGACACATATGGGATAAAAGGTTCAGGATGCATATTCATCTTAAGTCTTAAAGTCAAATTTAAGCTCTATAGTAATAGAATGGTATCATATCGAAAACTATTTTTTCTAGTTTCAAATTTAATTTAAATTACCTCTTGAAAGTAAGAAGAGTGATTTTTGAGTTAAGATTCTGTTAAATGCGACTTCTGAAGGATCTCTGAAAATATCAATTTAGAATCTAAAATCTCAGTTTTGCAGATTAGTGTCAAACCCGTAACAGACTTTCGATTCTCGAGGCTTGGAACAGGCCGATCGGGCCAGTTTCGTTAATATATGGAGTGGGAATCGCTCGCCATTTAAGCGAGGCATCTGCCTGGCCCCAGTTTCACTTTCAATGGGTTCTTTTGTACGGTGCTCAGGTATTATATAACCATATTGACAGCTGGAGAGGCTGGCGCACTTGAGATCGCGTGTGTGCCAACAATGGAACAATCAGCGGAGAGCCAAGTCGTTCAACTTTTGGACAACTCGTTTTATTGTCGAAAAAGTGCGTACAAAAATATGCAACAAAGTCGGTACAAAAATCCTATATTTAGTATATTGCTACTCCTAACGAATCTCCTGCAGTTCCTGAGCTGGCGGTTGTTTAATCTCCTGTTCTGTAGGCTGCTGATATCCTTGTTTCGGCAGGAATTGCCGCTTTCTCGATGTGGGACGCACCACAATGTGTGCTACGCAGGTGCAAATTGCGGCGATGGCAAAGTATTTGAAACTTTCACGACCTCCCAGGCTATTGAACATGAGTCCTCCGATCAGGGATCCAATGGAGAAGCCCAGACCATCATCCATTCCAGCCATCAATCCTTGCACCGTGGCCGAAGTTCCCGGAGGCGCCACCGCCGAGGCGTAGGCCACGATGCAGGTGTAGCACAAAGCATAGGTGATGCCCTGGAAAAAGAGCTCCACACCCACTAAATACCAGGGATTGGGTATCCAGGAGATGAGGGACAGCCGCACAGCGTAGAAGAAAAAGCACATGCTCATACAGTGAACATAGCCCAGTTTCTTGATGATCTTGCCGCTGTAAAAGAAGAAGGGCACCTCACCGGCCAGACACTCGGCTGCGACCACCAGACCCTCGATTAGTTTGATCTGGTGCATATAGCCAGTAACCTCGGCCACCTGCTCCAAGTGCCAGAACATGAAGTAAATGATGAACGAGTCGATAATTCCAGCCATGGTGGCGAAAAACAGGAAGACCAGGATGGGTGGCTGACGAACCAACTGCCAGACATCGCTCCAAATGGACTCGGATCCTCCGAGTTTCGGCAGCTTCAGCTTGGACACACTGAACAGATCCAGCAAACTGAACACGCACATGATGATCAACGCGGGCGCTAAACTCTTAACTGCATCCGAGGTCCACCAGTTGACCACGATGCCGGATAGCAGGGCTGTGGCTCCGAAGCCAATGGTGCCCCACACCCGTTGCGCTCCGTACTTGCCCTGCTCCTCGTCGCCCAGCAGGTCAAAGCAACAGGCATCGGATATGGAGTTGGTCACGTTGAAGCCGACGATTCCGATGCAGAGCAGGCAAACGAAGAGCCAGAACTTGCCAGCTCCATAAATACAGCTATCCACATGGCGCAACTCGCAGGATGCAGTGCTCCAATCACTGGTGGCGGGTTGTGTGAGGCAAATGTGATGCGTTGCGTTGCCATGCAGCAGATTCTGGCTGAGATTGAGACCCGCCGAGTGAGCTACAATAAATGCGGATATTTCTTCATTTCCCTGAATGCATTTCGCCTGGTGAGTCGTCTGGCAAAATGCACTAGATGATTGAATATCAGGAGTGCAATCCTGTGGACTCTCCAGCAACGTCACATTCCACTGGGCACTGCCATCCTCCAAGGGGATGAAATGGGCATTGTCAGGAAGGAAATAGAATCCAGCAAAGGCCAGAGTCATGATCAGGATAAGAGAGATGAAGATGAACTTGCGCAGGCTCTGTAAAATAAATATCAGATTAAGTAAATGGTTGGTATATCAAATACTATCTCAAACTCACCGTAAAGTAATCAACCAGGAAACCCACCAGGGGTTTGGCTAGGACATAAAGTATGGGTAGAACGGCCATAATATAGCCCATTACATCCGGTGGAACACCTATTTGCTTGCCAATCACTGGAAGTTGGGGTAATATGGGTCCCATGGCTGTAAATATTAAGAGGAAAGAAGATTATAGTATCTAATAATAAGTATAAATTCAATTTTCAAAGCCTGGCTAACGTTTCATCAGATTTTCCCAGCATATATTCGATAATGTCACCGATAAGAGTCTTAGTGATATGAGGAATACAGAGAATTGATTATAATCACGCAATTATTGCGAAATCGGTGGTAATTTGGGATAGTATAGATCCGTTTTAAGACTTACCCGCCATGAAAAAGAAGAAATGTGCCTTGATGGGCAGCAGGCGCCTGTTGAGTCGCACCATTGTCCAGTCTTTATATTATATTACTGTATTATGGCTAATCGCTGTGCTCAAAAGCGACACAATGTATCACAGTTCAGATGTCTCCATGCAATCCTCAGTTTATTCCGGGTGAGAAGGTGTTCCTACCCAGATTAGATCATAATTTTCGCACGTCGTCGCTCGTCTTTCGCCTTTTGCCGTTCGACGTTGGTGGGGATCTGTCGTCTGGTGGAAAGAGTCTGTAAATAGCCAGCGATATGGATGTAAATCAGAGACTGCTAAACGATATCTAATCTCGATGTGATAAGACGCCTGCCCAGACTATATGGAAAGTTGTAATCGGCTGCATAAAAGTTCTACGGAGATAAGCAAAAGCATAAGTCTGCGAAACAACAACAAATCTTATCGCCTAAATACTATTATAATGTTTGGACAAATTAAGTTCGCAGGTGTGATAAAGATTTTAGGGCCTGCCGTAATAAATATGCCTTTGGGGCATGTTGAAGATCCCACTCGTCCGCTTTTCAACTCAATTAGTTATTGCGTGTTGTGTAAATTGAATGTAGCTTTGGCTAAAGTGTATGTACTTTGTAGATAAAAACCGGTTTACGATTAACTCGTAAACTTGACACACAAAAAATTACATTTTGCAAACCCGAAAATTATGGCTAGCAAAGACTTTCCGAAACCGATCATTAATCAAACAGAAATTAGAGATGTAGAAATCCCCAGAAAAAATAAGGGAGTTACTGAAAAACCCAAACAATGGTTAGGCTAAAAACAGGGAAGCCATATGAATGTTTTACTTGTTTGAATTGATCAAAACATTTGAATACAATAAGATTGTACGGCCGAAATGTAAATAATTTTAATTATCTGTTGAACAATTAGGTTCACGCGATTATAATCCACCCACTAGTGACGATTTGTCTGAGATCAGGTTATATACCGACGAACGGACGCCGAGAGCTGCGGTCAGAGACTGAAGAAAATGCTGAAAGGCCTGCAGTTTGTATGGCAACTGATAAGTTCAGTCGCCCGATAAGGATTCAGTCAATCAAATGTGGTTTATATATTGATAAACTACAGATTGGGGAGCAGCCACAAGATACTGGGCTTGCCTTTCAGGTAATCCCCCTGAGATTCTCCCCGCCCCTTTTTTAGATTCGAGGTGCTAATCAATCAGAGAGTTATCCAAAAACCCCAGCTTGACTCATCAGCTGTGCGTAGTTCATTGTTATTCTCGTTCTGCAGCCTGAGCTTACGGATCGCTCGGATCGAGTTTTACTCGCTAGCATCTGGGAGGGCTGGCTTCAGTCTCCGTCGATCTTTCACTGCGAGAGGTTCGGGGTTCGAAGCTAAGACTAGCCTGCACTTCGAATCGAAAATCGTAAATTGCAAGCGGTTCTCAACGCGTCCGACTAACCAACTTAATCCCGACTTGTCGCCGTTCTCGAGATACAATTAACGATCGGTTGACGCAATCAGAAATGCAGTGGCTTACATCAATTTTGGTGGGGCTGTTCGCCTCGTTCTTATCAATAACAATGTGCGTAGCTGTGCAACCGCTGGATGATGGCAAATGTAAGTTGATTAAAGCCGAGGGGGCGGATCTGTTGTTGTCTGGAAGTATAAAAATAAAACAAGGCAAATTGGTGAAATTAATTGAGTTATTTTTGTGCTTAATTAAAACATTTGTGATAGCTTGAGAAAGATTTCAAATTAATTACTCTGTTATTTAATGTAAAGAGAGGATTATTCAGAGCTGGGAAAATATTCAAAAATTATCTTGATTACAGAGAAATTATTTATAAAGCAAAACCTGCTAATTTATTCAAATAAATCCAACTTTGTATCTGCTTTTCATGTTTAATCAACCTAATTTCTATGGAAATTTTCATTACCTAGTATTATTTTCAACCTCTGAATATCTTCTCAAGATACATTGTTAGTTAGTGTCGATTTAAATACATCCATCAAATTAAGATGAACTTTTTATTGAAATTTCTGCAAAGTCAGCCCCGCAATTAGCTATTAAAGTCGCGTAAAACCCAATCTTAAATTCGAAATGCACTGCGAGAGAGCAGGCGACCTTGGAGCCTACGACTGGGTGTAATCAAAACCCGCTAGAGACAGTAAGACAGTAAAAAAACCGATCAAAAACCAGTCCCGACCTTGTATCTCGTGATCCACTGCCCAAAAAGCGGCCCAACCCGGCAGATTTGAGTTCCCAGCGACATGCGAATTCTGCGAATGCAGCCAACTTGTTCAGGTTTCCCCCGTCAACTGACGCACCTGAGGGGAATTTTTAATGTTAATGTTTAAAAGTGAAATACCCCCAAGATAATATCTCTACCAAAAACTGCAGCCGGTAGAAGCTCTTAAAGAAATCCAAAAATAAAGATAATCATAATTAATGCGGCTGCGGCAACAGGTTTTTACCGGATTATAAATATATATGTATTTTATACAGATGTCCAAACTAAATGTATTTACTTGCTCCTCCCCCCGCAGTGCGCGTTTGTGTGGTGGAATCGCGTGGCAATTATCGGAAAAGCCCCCAGTTCTGCCCGCTGCTGGCGGCCAAGAGCAACATCGAGTGCGTCATCGGCGTGGACCGGCTGGACTGCGTGCGGCGGATCCACAAGGGCACTGCCCACTTCGGAGTGCTCTCCTCGGAGGATCTGGTGGCCGCCCGCTGGGCCAGCGTGGAGATCCTGGTGGCCAGTGAGCTGCGCTCCCACGAGTCCAACTTTGAGTACGAAATTGTGGCGGTGGTGGACAACAAGGCCAACATCCACACAGTCCACGATCTTCGAGGAGCCAAGCTCTGTCATCCTGGTTACGGCATGGGCAATCACTGGACGGAGGTCCTGGCTAATGTAAGTTATTCTTACACACAAAAAAAACTTGGTAAAAAATTGTCAAACAGTCCCTTACCACAAAAATTGTCAATTCTACCAAGTAAATAGGTGCACAGAAAAAAAAAAACCGATATGAAATAGGCTTATTTCTACCTTATTTCATATCAATAAAAACTTTTTTTTATTAAAAAGCCGATATAATTTATGTCAAATTTATTAGTTTAAGATTCAAACATGTCAACATGATATTTTATCATGTCATAAAAAATACCAAATGTAGTATTTCTTGAGCAAAGAATAGTAAAAAAGATTAACATAATATTTATTCATATCAAAATGATATGAAAACTTGATCTTTAAAAAATATCAAATTGACCATTACCGTTTTTTTTCTGTGCGTGTGCCTTCGCTAATTGTTGTGAAAGTAACTATTAATTAGTAGAATAGACAATTTTTGTGGTTGGCTACTGTTTGACAATTATAGCAGTTATTTCTTATGACTATTGTTCTTAATCTTCAATTCATTTTTTTTAGTACTTTGAAGCCGCCATGGTTTCCAAGACCTGCGATCCGGAAAAGACAATTACAGAAGATCGTATTGCCTCCACAGCCAAGTATTTCGGTCCCAGCTGCAAGGCAGGTCCCTGGGTGCTCAATCCCGAGCAGGACCGCATCCTCAAGCGTCGCTATCCCTCGCTGTGCGAGATGTGCTACGAGCCGGAGAGCTGTGACCAGAACGACAAGCACTGGGGGCGACGTGGAGCCCTCTACTGTCTGACCAGCGGTGGTGGCGACGTGGCCTGGGCTCGCCTGGATGATGTGCGGAGTCATTTCGGGGTGAGTTAAGGATATATATCCTCTAGTAGAAGCTGAATTAACTTGCATTTCCCTAGTTCTCCGGCATTGCGGCCCAGGCGAATTCCTCGGAGTACAGCTACCTCTGTCCAGATGGCCACCTGCAGCCCATGGATGCCAGCCAACCGTGTGTCTGGGTGGCCAAGCCGTGGCCCGTAGTGGCTGCCCGTCGCTCGCATGCCGCCCAAGTGCAGCGCCTGGTCACTGGACTCACCCACGACGAGCCGGACAGCTGGCAGAATGCTCTGCTCAGTCTGCTGGAGACCTACCACGTCTTCACCGTTCCGCTGGACAATGTGATAGCCATCGATGACTATCTGGACCAGGCCACCGCCTTCCAGTCGGCCTACAGCTTCCCCGAGTGCAATCCCCCTCGTTCCATTGTCTTCTGCACCACGTCCATCATCCAGCACGTCAAATGCTCCTGGCTGCAGGAGGCGTCTCAGGTCTACGGTGTCCAGCCGAACATCCAGTGCGTGCGGACCATGGATTTGCAGCAGTGCCTGGACGACACCAAGTTCAAGGCCACCGATGTGGTGCTGGTGGATCAGGAGATGCGTGTGAAGGCCCAAAGGGACTACAACTTGGTGCCACTGCTGTACGAGTTCTCTGCGGATATGCATGATCGGTATGTGACCATTGCCCTCGTGCACAAGGATTCGCGGTTCCAGAGCTTCAAGGATCTGCGAGGCGCTAGAGCATGTCTTCCCTCGTTCGAGGGAGCTGCCCATTTGTCCGTTCAGGAGACAATAGTGAATGCCACGGGCAAGGTGCACTCGCTGCACTCCTTCTTCCACCGCGACTCCTGCCTGTGGAATCCGGAGAAGGGTCGCCAGTGCCCAATGCACTACCAGGGCGATGAGGGTGCCCTACGCTGCCTCTCCGAGGGCGCCGACGTGGCCTTCCTCAGCTCGGATGTTTATAAGAAGTATGTGGCTGGGAATCTCACCGCGGATTGGTTAACCCATGGCAAGCACAAGGATCTCCGGTTGCTGTGCCCCTACGGAGGCATCGAGAAACGCTCTAATTTCGATTACTGCTACCTCCACTGGACCACTCGCGGCCACCTGATGACCCACAATTCCTCGCTGCCGCGGCGCAATGAGATCTACAATTCGCTGAGGGACATGGATCAGTTGTTCGGCCGGAAGTACAAGAGTGAGACGCGTCCGTTTACCCTTTTCGGGATCTTTGACCAGCGGAACAATGTGCTCTTCCGGGATGCCACCGATGGACTGCTGGGCCTCCAGGAGCTGCACCGCGATAATGCCAAGCGTGTGATGGAACACATCTACGATCGGTACACCAATACTCAGTACTACAAGAACTTTGATGAAAGTGCAGCTGTGAAATCTACTCAAAATATGTGGATTTTGCTTGTCTGCTTATTTTTAGGATTGTGTCGTTATATCGCCTAGTCTCTCGAGCTCAAATCTAATCTTATTTATTGTGATATTACGCTAAACTTAAGTTAAGAATATCAAGAGCCTCAATCAGAGCTGTATCACCAAATTGAATTTTTGAATTTTTAAAGGGCGGTTACTTTTGGGTTGTAGCATCGATAGCACAGTCGATAGTTGAATGCAATCGGTGGGGGTTAATATTTAAATTCACTTGAGAGAAGTGAAATGAGTTTGTACTAATTTATGAAGCATTAAATTGTGTTAGATACAGCAATAACTAATTATAAACTAAATTAAAACTTATTTTAATTAAATACCTACCAGTTGCATTCAAACATGGCCGCGCTTTCCAACACTTGGCCGATCAGCTGATTGTGTTATTGCTGGCCCATTTGTTGTTGCTATGTACAAGGATTTCGTTGCCAGGGAAACAGGAAAAATGTCACAACTGAGCAGCATTACGATTGATTAAATTTACGTGGCACTCCGGCATTAAATCCTTTCATTTGGCCATAAAATTAGGCACTTTAAAAGGCGGCAATTGATAGTAAAATGTCAAAAAATGCGACGCGAACGAGCAGCAAGAACGTAAGCCCGTTGAAAAGGCACTCGAAAGCAGCAAAAAACCATTTACGAAAAGCACTTACGTATAGTACACCTTTCGATTGCTTAGTATGTAGCCAGCGATTTCACTTTTTTGCAGACTAATTTGCACTCTTCACTCCGCACAAAATCCTAAACAAAGCCTGCATTTTATCATTTACACCTGGTCTGCAGCTATTTTACCACTTTTAGTTCTCGAATTAATGCCAGCAAAAGCTTTATTGCCAATTAGCCCACGCTTCGGCATGTTAATAATGCAGTAAATATGTAATAGCATTCAATTAAAACTAATAAACGAACCGATCGCCACTCACAAAAACAATAAATTAAAAAATAGGCCAGTGCTGTTAAGTGACAGAAAGGCAGTGCTGTGAAACCTAGATAAACCGTTATGATTTCAAAAATCTATTTAAATTGCAGGCCAAAACGGAAGTGCCCAGGAAGGTCACCAAATCACCGGCAACAAGTGGGTCACAAGCGACCACAAGGGAGCCAAAGGAGCGAAGGTCACTGGTCAGGCAGCCGGATAGCCTGGAAGGCGAAAAAATTGCCAGGAAAACCACAACAGCAACACAACCTTCGACCAGCAAAAAGCCATTGAGCACGGGGAAAAACAAGGAGAGGGAAGCCTTGAGCAAAAGGACCACTCCGTCGCCAGGTGCTTTGCGTGCCAGCACCACCACCAGGCAGGCAACCACAAACCCACCACCATCCCTACAGTCCAGGACCAAAACAAAGCCGGTGACCAAGGCCAAACCCAATGCAGTTCTGGACACTTACCACAGTGTTACGGTCGCTTCGCCACCACAAAAGCGCAAACAGGAGAAGGAATCACCCACACCTCCTTCCAAAGGATATTCCCCTGTTGCTCAGGCGAAAAAAGAACATAAAGCAGATGCTCCTGCTGCACCAGCCAGAGCCAGAACCTTTACCCGCACTTTGGATCCCGAGGAAGTGGTGGTTCTCAAGCGCGAATCCGCCAAACAAAGGAGCCAAGTGGAGACCCAGGAATCACAGCCTGTAAAACAGCCCGTGGCCTTCGAAGTCAAGTTCGAGGAGAAAGCCAAAAAGCCAGATCCCGAATCCGATCACTACTCCGATGACTTTGAGTCCTATGAATCCGATTTCGAGACGGATGACAGTACGCCAGGAGAGGATGAAGAACCCTCAGAACCCTCATCCTCCGAGGCGGAAGTGGAAGAGGAGCCGGAAGAAGAGGACTCGGAGCCCACCCAGAATCCCATTACCGTCATCCAAAGGGACAAAGATCAGGAGCGGAAGTTGGACTCCGGCCACTACGACATGCACTTGCGTCGGAATCCCCTGAGCACTCAGTCCACGCAGAATCAGTACGATAGCTTCGATACCAACTCGATGGCCAATTCGGAGCAACTGGACTCGGGCATCAGCACCACGGGAGCAGAGAAGCCGCCGAGTGGAGAGTCCAACGTTTACTACGGTGGCTACTCGGGATTCGTTTCCCATCCCGTGATCACGCGTCGCGGCGAGGAGCTGATGGCCAAGCTGCGCTTCGACCAGCTCAACTACCAGCTATTCGAGATGAAGCCCCTCAGCTACGAGGGATTCATGCAGAGCTACGGCAAGCTGAATGCCTGCCAGCTGGCCACGCAGACGCAGTTGTCGCTTTTGGATGGCGAGTGCCAGACGCTGGAGGTTCACAGCCGGAGCAGCTGGACGCAGCATCCACCTCACTACGGTGGTCAGCTAATCCTCAGCTGCAGTGGTGATGCGGATATAGAAGATAAACAAAGTAACCAGCCGTTGGATAAATATGAAGCCAGCCTTTCGCGCTTGGAGCAACTGCATCGCCTGGAGCAGACTCGCTCACAGCAGCAGCAACATAAGAGATTGGCCAAGACCACGGATCTGGAGCGTCTGAATACGTTTCTGCACAAGGCAGCCCGTCTGATGGGTCGAGTTTTGGAGGGCAATAAAACCCGGAATCAAAACAGTAGTCCAAGGAATATACCCCTCCAAACAGGACTCCTAAACGCTTTACCCTGTCGTCGAATCTTCGGAAGCTCCGGCAACGGACAACTGGTGGTGACCGTTCACGAATGTCCCCAGGAGAGCAACGTCTACAGGGAGGACTTTGCCAGTCTGCTGATGGTCTGGTCACTGGCCAATCCCGGCCAGCCGTTGCGTCTGCTCTCCACCTGGGCGGAGGTCAGCCGAGTGGTTATCTCTGGCGAAGCCCAGGATATCGTGGTGGCCGGACTGAGGGATGGCAGTGTGGCCATGTGGGATCTGCGCGAGACGCACAGCTACTGCTCCAAGTTGGATGGCCACCTGACCCACTTTGCAGCCACGCAATCAGTGGTTCCCATGATGGAGCAAAAGCAGCAGGAGGCTAATGCCATGGATCTGGGAGCCGTGGTGGATGTGCGAAGCTTTAGACCGCAGCCAAAAGGAGGAGGAATTGCTGGTGGTTTGCAGGCGGCCTATAAGGAAGTTCAGGTGGGATAGTCATCTAATTATTATTTAATTTATTATAGTTATAATTATACAAAGTATACCATTTTATTATATATTATTTTAATATATTTATACCTATTTAAATCCAGGAATATATAAACACTTTAAATCCCGAACTTTTTGTTAAAAAACACATATTTTTTAAAAATTCTATATGATTATTTTAAACATTTATTAACAAAAGTTGTAGAACCAAATAATTTAACCGTCTAATTTCACTGATATTTATTATAGTTATAGTTATACAAAGTATACCATTTAATTATATGTTTGAGTTCTTTAAAAAATTCTTTTATATACAATAATCTAGAATTATTAGGAGTAAAATTAACAGTTTCGAAAATACAATATTATTTTCTATAACTATACTTGGACTAAACTTTTCAATAACATAAAATTTGATTAGACTATAAAAACAGTCCCTTAAATCAATAAGGGATTTATTTAAAAACTCTTCAAATATTAATAATGGTTTTAAATTTAAATATACTTTATGTTTTGCTATTATAAATAATGATATTTATAAATAAATATAGAAATCTGAAAATCTAATCATATCTAAACCCATTGCAGTATGCCTCGCTGAACGACTGTGGCCTGCTGACCATGTGGACTCTGGTGGAGGGAGCCTCGTCCAGCAATAGCCACGAGTTCAGCTCACCTTGGGCTCGGGTGAAACTGCTGCAGAGTGCCAGCTGTGATCTGAGGAGCTATCTGGAGCGACGCCTGCAGAAGAGCCATCAAAGTGCCTACGAGAAGACGAAGTCCTTGTTCCAGGGCAACATCTACAGCGACGACCTGCTGAGGGAGCTGAACGAGACCCAAACGCTGACCACCGCTCTGCAGGATCACGGGTTGCAGGGGCTGCGCTTCACCAGCATCGATACGGGTAGTGATCTGATCTATGTGTGCACCAACCGGAATTTTGTGCTCTGCTGCACGCGGAGCTTAAAGACGGAACGCTTCTCGAGGATCGCCGTGAACGAGAGTCGTTTCCTGTTCCCCACCTCACTGTGTGTGCTCTCCAACGAGAACTATGTGGCCGTGGGTCTGTCGAATGGATCTGTGATGATACTCAACTGCAATCAGCGGCAGAGGCAGCAGAGACAGAAGAATCACCAGAGACCCAAGACCGCTGTGCCGCCGGCCACCGATGAGCCCGATCCCGAGACGGGCAAGTCCTGCGCCATCCAGAACATCATACTCAACGAGCGAAGATCCTTCGACCAGCAGGTGGATGTGGATCCCAATTCCACCTACGATCCCCGACCCAATACAGCTCTGGAGCAGATTGAGCGACCCAGGCGATCCTACGAAATGAGGGTCTTCGATCAGCAGCTGCTCCTCAGCGGCAGCGGACTGCGTCAGCATCTCGTCCAGGCCCTGATCCTCTCCAGCGATGGCTGGAGGCTCTCTGCCCTGACCAATGGCACGGTGCGCACCTACGATTTTTACCGCGACAGGGAGATGCCCGGTGAGCAGCCGACGGAAAGTCGCTCCAAAGTCACGGACATCGCTGGAGCTCGCAGTTCTGGACCCGAGCAGATCCTGCTCATCCTGGACGCCACTGGAAAGGTGCAAGTGAACACACTTGACTACTAGCTTGTTAAATATTTTACCTTTTGTATGCGTTTGTTGAAACCTTTTTAAAAGCAAATAAAGTCGATCTAGTCCTACCCGAATTGAGTATAGTTTTAAATGTTATAACTTTAATTTTAACTGTGCTAAACACATTTTTTAAGTAACGACAAGGGGGATATCCGGATTATATTTTAAATATTAAATGCGAGCTGTGGGTTGCCCATTTATTGAATTATTTGTTACAACGTACCTACTTTGTACCACCTACTACATCATATTCTTTAAAAACCTCCCTTTTTACAAAATCCTAGTTGGTTATTTTAATGGGAACACTTTTAACTACAAGCTTATACAATACTTTCTCAATACTCAATACGTAATACTTTTTTTTTAATCCTTTTTCGAGAAAATAAATTCGATCAAATTTAAATCGAGTTAAATTTTTAAGGAATCGAAATAATGGTTACTATTTCGTATTTTATAATTTCGATAACCCCTAAGGTCAACTTTTTTTAAAATAAAACATGGTAAAATGTTTTGTATTTTATCACCCGTCATATACGAACTCTTCTTTACCCCTGAATCGAATTCCAACCTATTTAAAAAAAAAGATTTTGATATCAGTTATAATAACACCACCACCGACTTTATATACCGAACTTCATAATTCGGATTTCTAGATAGTCTATCTTTTTGTTTAAAAACAACACACTTTTTTTAAAATTCTAGATGATTATTTTAAACATTTATTAACAAAAAGTTGTAGAACCAAATGATTTAGCCTTCTCACTTCCCTGATATGTACAATTCTCCAGCTCCTTTTTGGTAGTATATCCCTCCAAGTTACACCTGCCTGGCCATGGACAACATGCCGCCGGCGGTTGTGGCTCCCAGGAGCTGTCGCACCGTCTGCAGTTCGTCCCTGAGCGCCAGCACCTGGGCCCTCAAGATGGAGTTCTCCTGCTCGAGAAGAGCCGCCCGGAAGGCTATCCGATCCTCGCGGATCTTGCGCGCATCCCTTGACTTCTTCGCCGCCTCGTTGTTCCGCTTGCGCCGCTCGAAGTACTTGGCATCCTTTTGGGCTTCCGGAATGGGTCGCTTTTCGCCGCGAACCCGCCGGTGCATGAAGCCCGGAAACATTCCGCCTCCAATCACGCCCACGCGATTGAGCTCCATGAGCGGAAACTCCAGGGCCTGGAGGGCGTGACTCGGCGGAGCAATGTACTCGAAGGCGGGCAGAGATTCGGAGGATCTCTTGGAACCCAGCATGCCGGGAAAGCCCAAGCCGGGCAACCGGAGATTCTGGGGAACGGGAAAGGAGTACGGTGGGTTCTTCTTGGACTCCGGGTCTGCATCCAGTTCCGAGTGCAGCGACACGGTCTCGGTGACATCCAGAATGGGCGACTGGGCGGGCGAGTGCATCCTTTAACTCTCCTGGAACTGAACCTCCGTTCGCGCCAACGGCCGGGCTGTGTCTGAATCCTGGCGCTGAGTTATGGCCCAAGTCCTGGCGACCACCTGCCTGCCGCGGTAATTATAGGTTCTTGTCACACAACCCCCCCACCAGCCACTTTCACCCCCATTTTGGGGCTAATTCTAAGCCACAACCCTGCTTCGCCGGCTGATTCAACCAATCACGCAATGTTGACGGTAATTATTCGTCAAATACATGACACTTGGCCCGGCCAGCATGGCATTTATTTGTGCTGCCCGGTTACAAGGACTTCATATAACTGGTTAGCCAGATTACAAACCCCAGTAAAGGAGACCCCCGCCTCCAAGTCCATGGTCCTTCGAGTTGACCAACTGTTATGCGGTGGGGCGGAAAACAGAAGGATTTCCCCGGACACTGACCAATGAGAGTGAACCTGCGGCTATCGACCGACATTTTGTAGACGCAAGTTCCACGATAAGCAGCGGTAATAGTCCGAAAGAGGCGTGGTGGAAACCCCCAAGTTGTTGCACTCACTGAAAATAAACCACTTCAAATGGGGCCCATTAATTAAAAATTTAAATATTTGCATTATTAAAAGGGATTGTGTTTTTCCTAGAGGATTACTAGTATTATTTTTCTGTCCCACTCTTTTTTTTAATTATAGAATTTTTATGAGGGGCTGTCCATATATTACGTAATCACCTAGGGGGGGGTCAATCAAAATACAACTCTAGTGCAGAAAAATGGGAGGGAGGGGGGAGGGGGAGAGGGTCAAAAATCACCAAAATTGTGATTACGTAATATATGGACAGCCCCTGAGGTAAATTATTTCTACATAACAATCAAATTCTAAGTTTTTAAGCATTTGAATTAAATGATTATTTGTTTTCAAAATTTTAGATGACATTATCACAGTGTTCCTTTTATTAGTTATCGATTAAGTTATCCCGGAAATAAATTCTTCTACTCTATTAATTACCCTCTAAAATCTGCAAAGTCAGGAAGCCAATCTACCATCATCAAGACATCAAAAAGTTTGCCTAACTTCAATTTTATCAAGCATGACTCTTCAAGAATCGAAAAATTTGCATGATATGTTCCTTCCTGACAACTCCAAGACCCCGCATATAACCATATCGATATGGTAATGTTCTTCGTGTCTCTTCCTTAACCCGCTCCATTTCGGGTTGAGAAAGTGTCACCTGTTTGTCGAGCTAAATTGGCAGTTTGGGCCACGGGGCTTTCCCGTTCCCTGTAACCGGAAGTCGCATCCTTATAACGTTTCATAATGTATGCGCTAATTTATTATCTGTTGGCAAAAGTTGGGCCATAGTTAACCCTTTGACTGGCATGCTACCGATGTCGTTTATGCTTAGACCGCCGAACCAACAGTTGAAGCCAGGAATAATGGATTGCGTGCCAGAGTGACATGTCTGAAAACTAAAGGAAGCCTCTAATATCATTCAAAGGGTTGAGCGAGATATGTTATACTTCCAAAGAATATTTGGAATCGCTTGTATTTATTAGTTGCATTACTATACCACCGAGATCTATAAACTTAGTCCCTTTTTTTGGACCCACCCCCGAGACCTTGCTAATGCATTGGGAGGCTATTTATATGATAGACAAATTACCAGGTAATATAGCTGGGCGAACATGTAATTGTTCCGATGTTTGTTTGGCCAGTAATTGAAGAGCAAACCTCGGGGACCCACGATGGACAAACCGTTAATGACACCTTTAATTGGATGACATTAGCACCAATGTCCTGTGTCCAAAGCATGACCAAGTGGGCCTTGAGTACTACTTTCAAATCATAGGCTTCAGTCTGCCTGTCACAGAATATTATTTTTACTCTATTGAGTTTGAACGGAAGAAAGGATTATTTAATTTATTTTTCTAAGAAGAAAAAGAATGTGTGACGAAGGCACCATCCGGGACTGTGAGCCCACCACCTTACGGCTTCCTTTCAACAGCTACCATATCAACTTGCCTCTATATATTCTGGACATGGTGCGCATCTTTCAAGACCATCCCAAGTATAGCCAGGGAATTCATGAGGAGCACATCCTAGAGATGCTAGAAAAGGAGTAAGAAATTAGAAATATATTAGTTAGTTAGCCAAGACTTAAATCTAAATTAATCCTAGTGTTTTTTGAAATCATGGTGATAATTTAATGCAACATAACTTGTCTTGTTACAATAATGATGATAATTTCTGGTAATATAACTTATCACCAATTACACTGTGCAGCATTTTTAGTGCTTTTTAAATTTACCTCGATGGATGCTATATTTTTGGATTCGTTACGAATTCCCAAGTTAAACTGCGTTTTCCAAAAAGTTCCCCGACGCAAGGATTCTTAGCAAAAGGACCTCAAAGTTCGAAAAATTCAGAAATTGGCCAACTTTCTAAAGCTCTCAGAGGCAAACGGATTCATGGTTTGGTTAGATGCTAAAGTTTTATAAAAGATACACTCTTTATCTTTTAAACCCCACACTTACAAAATTTTTAAGATTTTTTTTAAGGCAGAAACAAGTTCTAGAAAACATAGTCAAAAAACATAAAAGTATACAGCTGCGGTCAAAATGGTAGTAGTGTTGCCGCCCTGTGTATTTAAAAGTTTGTTGTTGTAATTGATCTTTTCCTGGTAATATTGTATTGATTATAATTTTCCTATTAGACTAATTGGATAAGAAAAATTACAACATCAAACTTTTAAAATACACAAGGCGGCGACACTACTACTATTTTGACCGCAGCTGTATGTTTTTCAGTTTTTTGACTATGTTTTTTGAAATTTATTTCTGCCTTAAAAAAATCCTAAAATTATTTTATGTATGGGGTTTGAAAGATAAAGGGTGTATCTTTTAAAAACTTTAACTTCAAACCAAGCCATGCATCCATTTGCCTCTGAGAGCTCCGCAAAGTTGGCCAATTTCAGCATTTTTCGAACTTTGAGGTCCTTTTGCTAAGAATCCTTGCGTCGGGGAACTCTTTGGAAAACGCAGTTTAACTTGGGAATTCGTAACGAATCCAAAAATATAGCATTTATCGAGGTTAATTTTTGATGCTGCATAGTGTTATTATTATTTTTCCTATATAAATAAAAAAAGATAATATTTATTTTCCTCCTAACAAATTTGATTATTAGGATTATATATTGTAATATAGGTACCTTTTATTCATTAACCGATATTTACTTACCACTAGACCCTTTGCCTGCGGCGATCTGGAATCGCAAGTGAAGACCGCTCTGCTGGATCTCACGGCCAAGGGATTCATACGCTTCATTTCCAATGGCTACCGCACCTTGGGACCCATTGCCAAGCTCTCCAATGCCCGTTCTGTGCGTCACTTCAACATGACATGGCAGCGCATTGCCGAATTGCAGAAGGTCAATTGTCCGAGCCTGGAGCCGGGATCGATCTCCAGCGGTCCCTGTACCCAGCGTGGATCCAACTACTGAAGTCTTAACCCCTAATCGTTAATTCCGTTGCGTTAACCATTTCGTTTGTTAAGTTGAGTCCTCCTAGAGCAATTCAAATGCCCCACACACTCCATCGAAATTGTAATCGTCTAGTAAAATTCCTGCAAATCCTAGTTTCGGGGTAGTTTAGTTCGGGTGGTGGATCATCATCATTATGTTGGGAACACATGTCGCGGGGTCTGCCATCCTTTTGACACTTAACCAGGCTAATTGTCCTCGGGGGTTGGCCCACTCGCATGAGGAATGTTGCAGGTGTTTCATAGGGAAACGGCTTCCGAAACTGATTTAAGTATGACAATTGTATGGGCCAGCAGTCCCTGCTTATGATCCGAACTACATTTACCCGGTGAACTGTGCCCAAAATGACCCTTGGGCCCGGGCCCATTACCCTTTTGGCCGAACCGTTTAAATTGTCAACACCAGGACGACAATGGAGGACACTAGGAGGACCTGTCGTCATTGTTGTCCTCATATGAGGCGCATACGTAGCAGACACGCATGGGATCCCGGCCAGGTGTTATTTATTGCCTCTCTAATCGTTGCGGCATAATCTATTAGCACCCCACCGACAGATCCGCGCAGCCAGGTCCACAACGGTGTCCTTTGATTCTTTGCTTTTGCACATTAAAGGCAATTATTATTATTGTTTTAGTTCCGAGACAGTTTTGTGTTTGTCATTTGCCGATTGCTGTTCCGCGTTCATAATTGGACCAGCCCCAAGGAAAGAACATTAATCAAGCGGCCTGACATGTGGATAACGTGTTGGAACATAGCCAGTTCATTTGGTTTGCTAACTAACGCCATAACTGAAGGTTTAATACTGATTCAAATGCAGTAAGATGGAAGTTTTAACAATGTCAAGTTGGTAGTCAAAGTAATACATGATCAAAAATCAAATGAAAAGCTTAAAAAATATGAATGTAGGTGTCTTAAGTTTCGCTTAAAAAATGTTGGTCTGAAGTGATAAATATAGTGTTTAAATAGCTGTTAGTCACAACATTCAATGTTGAATAAAAGAAATAATGGATCAGAAATTCAGGTTCCAGAGTAAGCGTAGGGCTAACAAAAACAAATCTGCTTAAAAAAGTTCGAATTAAACTAAAAGAACAAATATATATTAATTCAAAATTTATGAAAATTTTCGTCAGCTGGGAGGCTTTTTAAAGATTCCTCACCAACGGAATTACGCCGATTCCCGATGTGCTCGGCATATTTACGATTCAACAGCTGACGCGGTATTTCAAGCCAGTCGCCCAGGAAGCGAATTTGGAAGCCATCCGGAAGACGATTCACCAGCTTAACATCCATCTCCTTGTTGAGCACTTTACTCTTTAGATACTCGACGCATTCAAATGTCTTCTGGTGCGTCAGAAATGTTGCCCTCACAATGCCCTCCATATGACAACTGATGCACCGATGGGGCTTTAGACTCTCCACATAGTCGCACGGAGCCAAGGAGCTCAGGGGAACGAACTCGGTGTTTCCGTAATCCACATAAAATATCTTGAATTCCGTATCCATTTCATCGATTATCTGTGCGCGATAGAAGCAGCCATCGCTGTAGAGGGCAAGTACAATGTCCAGCACGTGCGGCTTTTGCTTAAAGTGCCGTTTGTCCTCGGGCACATCCTTTTCCTCCCACACCAGCGGAGCGGATCCGTCCACAATTTGGGCGTACACCTCTGTGGGGCCATTGACAAAGGTGATCAGGATGCGGACAATGCTGCCGACTTTATGAGGCACTGGTGTGGCAAAGATGGTCTCCGGAAGAGCTCCGACTACCTCTACATCCTTGGTGGCGCCATCCGGGTCAAGGGGTACATGAACCAGACGACAGCCGTTCCCTTAAAAGTAAAGCAAACATAAACATTACATGTTAAATGTAAGAAGTGTAATTAAATAAAATATAACCAATTGTTTGATAAAATATTTTAGTTAGAGTTAGTGTAAAATTTCCTGTCAAAAAATATTTTTTCATAAATCAAGAAATACAATTTCTTGAAAGAAAATTTTAAACAAGTAAGAAACCACCTTAAGAAATTTGTTTTCTTGTTGGAGAGGTGCCTTTCTAAAAAACCATTTCTTGTTTTAAGAAATTGAATTTCTTGAAACAAGAAAGAAACCACCTTTGAAAAAAGAATTGCCTTTCTTGTTTCTAGAAATATTTTTTCTTCTTTTAATGGTGGGTTTCTAAAAAGCCATTTCTTGTTTTAAGAAATTTGTTTTCTTTCTTTTAATAAATTTAATTTCTTGAAACAAGAAAGAAACCACATTTGAAACATGAATTTTCTTCTTTTAATGGTGGGTTTCTAAAAAGCCATTTCTTGTTTTACGAAATTTAATTTCTTGTTTCAAGAAATATTTTTCTTGTTTTAAAGTTGCCTTTCAAAAAAACAATTTCTTAATAGAAAGGCGAGGTTGCCTTTGGCAAAAATTCAAGAAAAAATGTTATAGATTTAACGGAAATTCTTCGATTTTTTGTATGAGTGTAGTAATAGTAACCCAGAAAGTTCTAAATATATCTTAGCCAGCTCCTTTAAGCTTATAATACAACGACTTACCCTTGAAGCACCCATTTAGCTTGGGATCGTAGTGGCGACAAATGCGTTGCTCGTCCGTGGGTCTGAATCCCAGCACCGCCTTTAAAGGATCACTGGTGCCCTCTTCGATTTCATTCAGCATGGCCATGTCTGCCTCGCTTAGTTCGGGACGACATTCATTGATGGGCTTAATGGAATTTTTTATTTTGCTGAGGTCATCCTTGAGCACCTCCACCACCAGTTCAATGCCATTGTTTTCGAGCACACGCAGCTTAAGGTTCTGGTAGAGGAAACTTTTCATCTCGGCGATATAGTAGTTGGCTAATTTGCATCTGATGGCCTCCGCCGGCAGTCGCTTGACGTCGTCCGGCAATTCATATATAGTTTCGTTTCCGTTCAGGTGAATGTGCTCGCCGTAGTCAATCAGATATGCATCGTAGCCTCCTCCAGTGGAACTGGTATTCATGATGATGCGAGTAACAACATTGTCGCTACTGTCGAGGACAGCAAAGATGTCTCCGTAATCGGGCAGCTGGTGCAATTCTTGCAGTTGCATCTGTCCCTCTAGAATCTGCCGGAGTTTCTTGGAGCTGTCATCCCATTTTGCCACATAGATGCACTCGTTTGCTATGTTCACATGCACCAATGCGGCAGTAACCAAGGTTCTGGCGGGAAAGGCAGCCATGTTCTTGAAGATTTGATTGTAGATTCCAGCGCTGGTCGTCTGGGTGCCGCCTTTGGGAGCCAAAAGCGATCGGTTACCAGGGGTTTTTGGAAGCTCTGGAACGATTGCTGGTTGTGAAGCAGGAATCTGCTCAGCCGAATCAATAAGCCAAGTGGAGGGCAAGGTGGCGGCCACAGGATTCTCTTTAACTTGCAAGGGAGTTATGTTTTTGGAATCTTGGTTGGAGATGTTATTGTAAGTCGTAGTAGCAACCTTAGGATCTTTTGGTAAAGAGTTTATAACCACTGGGTTCTCTTTAACTTGCAATGGAGTTGTGTCTTGGGTCTTTATATTACTGTTGTTCGCAGTAGTAACCTTAGAATCTTCTGGGAAAGACTTATTGCAGATGCAGGATTCAATATCCAACATCCAGCACCTAGCACATGTGTCTTTGGGAGCACTTTTAGATAGACATTCAGGAGACATACATTCAGACGACGACAAACTGGAGTCCGCCAAACGCATGGACAGATCAACGGGCACCAGCTGCGTAGAATCTTCTCGACTTTTCTCGACGGAGGCCTGCTCCGGCGGCTGTTCATCCGTTTCATCAGAAGCAGCCTCTTCGATTGCCTTTACAGCCGAGATATCTGATATGTCTAGTTCATCCAAGGACTCCCCAGACTTTTCGTTCTCCCTGGATCGACCGGATGGTCGGTTCAGCTCTATCTGCAGGTTCAGCTTTATGATATAGGCATTCACCTCGCTAAGACTGCCCACCAATTGGTCATGAAGGGCGATGATCCTTCTGTCCAGTCGATTCACATTGGCCCATCTTTCCGTTATCACATTCCGAACGCGCCGCACATCGCGCTGGTAGGATCGCAGATTCTCTTGGAGCTTGTGCACGTTGTCATCGCACAGCTTCATCACCACCGAGATGTCCTCCAGGTCCATTGTTAGTTACCGTTTAGGGCCAAACAAATGCAAATCTATGAAAATAAAAAATGTTATTTAAGTTCGCGGCGGAAAAGGAAGAGGAAGAGGCACGCGCATTTGACTTGCAGGGCTGCCAGATATGGCGCAGACTAAAGCTTCGATTAATTAGATGCGGGACAATAATCGAATGTTTATTGATATTTATCGAGTAAAAACATACATTAGTTTTAGTTTTATTTAACTTATAAAAATAAAAAAGAAATGTATTAAGGGCTTAAAAATATGGATTTAAACAAGCAATTTCAACTGAATGCGCATTTTTTATTTAAATATTTATTGATATAACCCGTAAATAAAACATTACTTTTTTAAAGGAAAATACATGATTCCTGATAATTAAGGAATTTTCTTAATAAATATATTTCTTGAAATAAGAAAAAAACATGAATTGACTGAAAACGTCTGAATGGAATAGCCCCATTGAAAAAACGGCATTTTCAAACACCATAAACAACACTGATAGACCGATTACCTTCTGCCTATCGAGGAACGACTGTTTATAATTTGAGAAAAACGCCAGCCAAAATGAACGACAGCAACGTGCCCGCCTTCGTAAGTACTCAGTGAAAACCCTGTCTAGATAGCTAATCCCCCAGCACATCTTTCCAGGAGCTAGGCGATGCCCTGGCCACTCGCTGTGGCAACACACTCACCGGCGTCTTTTTGCCGGGATCGCGAATCGCGTTGAGCGCCTACCGGCATGTGACACACAAATCGCGGGACGCCCCCACCGAGACGGCTGGTCAGGATCCGGTGCTCATCTACCTGGCCCAGGAGACGACGCTCTTCGATGAGCCCGTGCTGCGCAGTGTGCTCGCCGAGGCGAACGCCACCTTCGCCACGCTGCAGCAGTTGGGTCCACGGGCCACCCGGGCCGAGTATGTGAATATATCGCGGGCATACCGCAGCATCGTGCGCTCCTGTCTGGAGAAGCTGGAGCAGGCCAAGAAGTCGCCGGATGTGCAGACGGATGAGCCCCGCCTGCGCCGCTTCACCGATGCCATTGTCGTGTTCTATGCGGCCGAGTGCCTGTGGCATCTCTTCGAGATTCTGTACATCCAGAACAACCAGCTGGTGGTGCCCCAACTGCTCGACTGGGCGCGCTTCCATTCCCCGCAAACCGAGGACCGGGCCACCGATCTGCTGCTGATGGCCGAGGAGGCCAGCGAATCGGACGACTACTGGAGCATCCTCAAGTCGCTGATCATGCTGGGCGAAATGGATGTCACACGCGCCATTCTCTCGCAGAATCGCAAGACTGGGCAGCCCGCCTTCAAGGCTGCGGAGCTGATCCTGAAGTCCATGCCCGTGTACCAGGAGGGCTATGCTCTGCAGAAGTTCCACTCGCAGTGGGAGTACTGGCACGTGGACACAGAGCGCAAGATCCAGAGCGGCATATTCGCCACAGAGCCGGAGTTGGAGCAAGTTCTTCAGCTGGTCGTCGGCAACAGCGAGCAGTGGGATGCTGGGATTAAGGAGTCCCAGGATTGCTACGATTACCTGCCGGGATATCTGCTCTTCACCAAGCCCACCTGCAAACCCTTCGAGCTGCGGATAGCAGCGGCCAATTGGCTGAACCGCTGGCATCTGCTTCGACCGGAAAGGGAGCTGTGCAGCATGAACCGCATGGTTGCGCAGCTCATGGATCAGGACATAAAGCTCTTCATATACGAGGCCCAGAAACTGAACGATACCCATTGGTTCTCAACGCATTTGATTGATCTTATCCATCATTGCGGGCAGCTCAAGAGCTACTTTGATCAGAATAATATGTGGGTTTTATTTGTTATAATTTATATTTAGTTAAATTAACATTTTGCTTATCTTTGCACCCACAGAGATCTCCCCGCCTTACGACACTCGATGATCTATGAGTATGGCAGCTATCTGATGACATCCCACAACATGTGGCAATTGGGTATTGACTATTTAGATTGCTGCAAGCAGGAGGGCCAGGCGGCTATTGAACTGCTCCTGCCACGCATCTCTTTGCGCAGTGAGCGCCAGGCCACCAAGCTGATCAACCTGGCCAGGCAACGAGGACTCACTGGCGTGGAGCAGGAGATCTGCAAGGTGCTCTCGAAGCAATCCTACGATAAGCAGCGTTACGGCAATGCCTTGGAGTGGGCCATTCGCTCAAAGGATATACTTTTAGTCACTGCAGTAGCAGACTTTATTTTAAAGGTGATTTATACACTGATTTTGGTGTAATATTTCAAATTAATTAATGTTCCTTTTCGTAGCATTACTCGAGGACAGGAAACATGCTCTGCCCGGACACCATAGCCAATGTGGGAGGACGAATGTTCATCTCACCTCGCTTGGTTTTCCTCTCCAAGTACTATGAGTTCTACGAATTCTATCGCACCCGCGATTTTCTCTCTGCCTCTGAGCTTCTGGTGAATCTGTTGGAATCCAGAATCACACCAGATTAGTAAGCTAGTGATTTTACAATTTAAAACTTTGAAAACACATTCATCTTCTATTAGCTTTTGGCCCTCGTTGCTCATCGATTCCATGCCACTGCTGGAGTCCAAGGATCCGAAAATCTTTGCCAAGGAAACGGTGGCCATTCTCCATCATATCGAAACAGAACTGGTCCCCATCATCGAACGCGATGTGACCAAATATGGCAAGGTATGTATAGAAATTTTGTCTATTTTACCTTCGCTTAATAATATTTTGTTGAATTTACAGCACCACACAGAAACCGTGTTTAAGGACTATCGGGTGGAGAACGTCGATGAAATCCTGAACCTCATGCGCCTGGCCTGCGCCCGCAACTTGGCCAGGGCTTTGATCATTGAGAACACAATGCCGGTGTCGTGATTTTGAATGCATTTTTAGTGTAATTTATTTTGTATTTTTCGCTTTTCCAATACATCGTAATTTGTTATAGATTGTATGCATTGCTAACTTGTTATTCATACGCATTTTGTTTATATCTTGTGCCTCTTTGCTATTTATTGTACCAACAACACTACTTGACTGGCTGCTGCCCTTTGACTAAAAGGAAATCCAAGCTGTTGGGTTGGGGGGCTGGAGGGATGTTCACAGTACGCATTTGTAAAACAAGGATAACGCCATCCAGCCTGCTGGATCCCAACGCATGGTGTCCCGGCAAAACTACACTAGTGTAGCGACGGCGAGGGTAAATCTATAGGATGCACTGCTGCCCTGGAATCGGCTGGGCGGCAAATCGGAACTGCTTAGGCCAAACTTAAAACAAGATTAAAATCAATCACTACGAAGTACTTTAGCTGCACAAAAAGGAAGTTTACACACGTATACGTCGCACCTAAGAACTATCAAACAACGCCCAGAGCACAAGGGTAGTGCACATAAGATTATGCATATGCGCGGATACATATATATATATATCTGTGGGTATGTATATAATTACTATATATTCTGGTTGTTAATCGTTATGAGAATCGCACGGCCTTGTACAAATGTTCGGTTACCACGTACGGAATTACAATTAAAGTCGCTTGTCTCTTGGCTTGGCCCTCGGACCGCCAACGGCATTATAAAATATATCATTCGCTTGGTAAAAACAATAAACACTAAACTAAACTTAGATGAGAAGCCGCCGGGGTGGGTCGCACTGCACATTCCTCATTCTACTGCTTAACAAACTTTTCTCCTACTCATCTTGCATGCCAAATTATCAATATTTAGCCAATCACACTAGGCAACAGAAAACACTTGAGTAATCAAAACATTTATACTTCTTAATATTCCAATCTCGAACTGACAAAACTCAACTTTTATGGGGTTTTTAGTAAAAATATGTTGTTTAAAGAATAATATTGTTTCTATCAATAAGCCTACGAAACGAAAATCTCCTCATAATTTGTGTGGGAAAATTCAGTTTGTAGCCTTTTTAATAAATATAATATAAAGATATAAAAATCAGGAAACAAAAAAATCATTATCTGTCAGTTTAATTTTTTAAATGAAAAAACAAAAAAAAACATTTTTAAAAAAATACTCAAGAAATAACGGCAGTATAATTTTTAGAATTCCATTTTTAAAAGATTCTTTTAAATATCACTAAAATTATAGAATTTAAATTATAATCTTTTCTAAGTGGAATTAAGGACATGAATATTTTTTAAGATATGTTTATAAGTGATCTAAATTTAACTGATCAGAGAAAGACTTGTAAACTAAGTAACTTCCTGACTATAACAATAGATCACTTATAAACAGAAGATAAGCATTTAACTTTTGTGACAGGCATGGAAATGACTTTCGAGCCGAAAAAAGAAATGTGTAAATATGAAAAGGCAGTTTTTTACCGAGGAATGGATGGTTTCTAATGGCAGTTCGAGATGGAAGATCCTGTTGCCTAGCGCGGTCGTCGAGGGACTACGCCGCTTGAGTATTTCGCTTATTCTACGCCCAATATCGGTTATTAATGTGAGTCTGATTCTGATTCTGAGTTTGAGTCTGAGTGGGGGGGGTGTCTAATTATGCTTCGCCGTGGTCGTGGTGGTGGCGGCTGCAGTGGCCGCCACCGTCGCCGTCGCCGTGGCAGAAGCTATGGCACTGCTGCCCGAAATGGAGCCCAGGCGGGAGAGAGAGGGCTCCCGCTTGGGCGGTACGATCGGCTTGGTTGGTATGGGTGGCGGTGCACCACGGGCTCCCGCTGGTGGCACGGTGACTGGTGGCACGGCAATGGGCACTGGATGAGGATGCGGTGGCGTGGCCGTCTGGGAGTCGAGGGCAGCTGCCGCAGCCAAGGCGGCATATTTGCCGCCAGGCGCACGTTGGATGGTGGCTGTGGGCTGCATCTTGGCCGGCGAGGGTGAGGGTGGCGCCACCAGGGGCACGGTGACCGTAGCAGACGTCTCTGCCACAATTGCAGTGGCTGCGACCGAGCTGCTGCTGCTGCTACTGGTGGTATTGTTGTTCGTGGTGCTGCTGGTGGTGTGGTTGAGCACGGCCGTTAGTGGTGCTATAACTGCTGTGGCCGTTCCTGTGGGCGCCGTTGCGATTCCAGCGCTTCGGATGTTCTGGCCCGGAGCTATGGAGCGGGCGATGCCGGTCTGTGGTCCCGAAACCGGCATGCTGCTCACCGTGGCGGTTGGCTGCACAATCTTGGCGATGTTCACCATGGGGGGCGTGGCACAGGCGTCGTCTGGAAAACGCAGAAAGTCTGGATTAGCATTTGGTTAAGTAGAGGTCGCTCAACACACTCGATCTTCGGATCTCCGGCAGAAGCCTTTCAGAAGCTTTTCAATCATTTAAAGGGCTTCTGCCGCAACCGGTGCTTGTGTGGAAATGTTTTTGGCATGGTCGTGAAAACACTACAGTTGTCTATGCTCTGGCTTTTTTTCTGAGGACTGTGTTCCAATGGACAGGGATGTGCAAGCGTGCGGATGCGTGAACTTGGGGTTGGTGCAACGTGGTGTGCACGAGGAACATCACAAAACAAAAAACAAATCACCTTGCAATTGCGTAACATTTTTTCTAACAAAAGATTTCGGCTTCAAGAGGAGTTCGAAAAAAAAGTAATATATATATAGAGTTAAAGTTTGTATATAGAAAATTATAAAGAGGGCAACCATATAATTACAACAGCCAGTTTTTCCAGGTTGCGTTTCCACTCACCGCTGAACTGTCGCGCCTTGGCGGCGGCCACCGATGAGCCGCTGCCCCCCAGAGGCTGCTGCTTTTTCAGGGCCTCGTGCTCGCCGCGCAGGGCGTTGAGTTCCTGCTCCAGCTCCTTGACCCTGGATTATAAATGTTATAGTTTTCGGGAATATTTTTAAGGATGCAGATCAACCCACCGCAGCTCCTCCTTGGCCAATTTGGCAAACAGGGCTTTGCGCTCCTGCTCCATGGCATGTGTTTGCTTCTCCAGTTCCTCCTCCATGCGCAGCGACTTTTTGCTCTCCTCCTCGAGGCCCTCGGCTATGGTGTCCGAGCGCTGCTTCTCCTCGGCCAGGATTTGAGCCAGATCCTCGGAGCGTTTGCCTGTAAAGCGAGAGAATTAATCGATGGCTTAGCTAAAGCCTCCCATACGCACCTTCTTCAATGTACTTCATCAAGATCTTCTTGCGCTCCGCTATGAGGAGCAACACAATCTGCTTTTGTCGATTGCGCTCGTACTCGAGCGTCTCCTGCAGCTTCTTTAGGTCCTTCTCCATTTTGGCCACCTGGGCGCGTTCCTCCTCGAGGTCCTGCTTCAGCTTGGTGCGCTCCATTTCCAAACCATAGGTGATGTCGTCGCCCTGCGCCGTGGTGTGCTCGTGCTTGCGCTTCTCCTCCTCCAGCTCCTGCAGCATCCGCTGGTTGTTCTCCAGCGATTCGGTCAGTATGTTCACCATGCGCACATGGGTGGCCCTCTGCTTGCTGACCATCTGATACTGCTGCTCCATCTGCTGCTCGATGATCTGGCGCACCTCCATCTCGGCCTGCGCGGCCTGTGTGGACGATTCCCTCGAGATGAGGTTCCCATTCAAGGCGATCTTGTCCCGGAATATGGCCGCATAGGGATCGTTGGGCTGCAGTCGCTTGGTGCGCAGCTGGGCGATGAGCTGCTTCACCCGCTCGTTCCTCAGGGCGGCAATGCAGACATCCCGTGCCTGCAGCTCGCCCTCCAGATAGTACAGCATCTTCACCAGCTCGCTGTGCGGCAGCTCGGCTCGAGTGCGTCCATTTGTGGCCGTGGCGGCGGTGGTGCTACTGGCCACCGGGGGCAGCTTGTGCACCACCCCGGGACCCGGTTTCATGGTCTGGAACTCGTGATTGGCGCTCACTGTGTCGCCGCTGCCCGACATTCCGGATCCGGAGCAGTTCTCCATGCCGTACTCCGCATCCGGAGCGGGAGCCTCTGCGAACGTCTCCGCCGTGGCGATGTTCGAGTTCGAGTTCTGCTCCATTTTCCCCGACTCCTGCTTCTGGTTTCCCGATTCCGGATTCCCAACTCCCGATTTCCGCCTCCTCGCAGCTCACAGCATACGAAAAAAACGTTTGGTGCGTCGCACTACGCAAATTGCACAATATTCGCGGTCTCTGCAATAATTAACCTTTAGTTTAAACTCGGTTCTATGCTGTTTCTTAGCCCAGTGGCTTTTGCGCAACCTGCAGTCGCCACAGGAAATTATCTTAGAAATTCTTTGTCAATTTGTTGCCCGTGAAAAAGTGGATACTTGCGGCGGAGCTGCCAAATCAGCCTTTTTCCCGCCAGTTATGGATATTTTTATGGCCAGCTGCGGGAAAATATTGTGGATGGCGGGAACCGGTAAATCTGGACTTTTTTTTCAAATACTTAAATGTTCTTACATTTGATTTTTTACTAAATGATTTTACAACTATACCACCTATATGCTTAAATTGTTAAAATATTTTCAAATTTATCTACATCGTCAAAATTAAAATTAATGAGTTCGCTTGACCTAAGCACAGTCAAAGCACGACCATAAAAGGATATAATAAACTTTTATAAACTAATTATTCTAAAAAACATGACTAAAGCTTTAAAAATATTTATGTGTAGCAAATTTACATTGATATCTTCCATACCAGCTAATGGATATGGGGACATAAAAGAGTTTGGCTATTTTCCTATCCTTCTAGCTTTTATTCCGATTAAAAGTTGGCAGCCCTTATTCGTGGGCGCAGCGTTGCCAACTTAATAAAAAGGAGGAATCGACCAGTGCTGAAAAGTGCCTTAAGCAAGGACCTTAGCTGAGTGTTTGGCGCCATTGCGAAAATTTTTTGAAAAATGGTTAAAAAAGCAAATAGTTAATATTTCAAGTATTTTATTTTTTGAAAACAAAAGGCGTTGTGGTGTTGTAGGCCAGGGAGTACCTAATGTGCTTGCCCACCAACCGATCGGCCAGTGGAATCAAAGCAGGTTTACGCTTATAAATGCCAGCTGCCTGTGGCGTCCAGGCCCGCAGGCGACACTCGGAGTGTCCTGGCAGGAGCAATCCCATCCAGCCTGCCGAGCTGAGTGTAATATCACAGTTTAGCTTCCCGTCATTCCTTCCTTCGTTCGCCAGCACAATGTCGCCTTCTTTGCACTGCAATCCTGGCCAGCGTTTCCGGCGAGCCTCCCAATCCTCACTGGCCAGGGGAACACCCAGGAAAGGCGTTCCAAGGTATCTTTTGTACACCTCTTCCGCCGCCTGGGTGTCTGCTATCAACACGGGCAGATTCTCCGAGGCAAATACAAACACCTTTAACCAGTCAAACTGTTTCTTAGAGCTTGTTATCTCGAGTAGATCCAATCGGGCCAGGCCTCCCAGCAGGATGCTTATCTGGGGACGCAGGCGAAAGGCTCTGGGGCGGATCATTGTGGTGGGTTGCAGCTTCACTAGTTCGTCGGTGGTCAGCAAGGGAGTCAGTTGATCGGGCTGCATCACGCCGGGAGTGTCGTAAACCCAACGCGCCTCCTTGTATTCCTTCTGGCGATCGTTCAGCGTGGTAATGGGCTTTGAGCCACTCGACATGGCGAAGGCATCGTTGGTAACGTCACGCCGATCGAAAGTGCGTCCCACGGAGGCCACTGGTTGGGCAGCTGCAGCTGCTCCCGTTTCCCTGGCCACTGCGCGTCGTTCCTTTTCCATTGCCGCCTTCTCGCTGCGCTCTGAAACTAATCGCTTGAAGCGCTGGTAGATGCGATCATTGGATGGCCGCAGGATGGGAAACCGCAGCAGTTTCAGTGTTGTTCCCGGCCAGGGACAAGTGGTGGCCTTGCGCACCAGGTCACTGGCCTCCGGGCGGCAATAGTCCGAGTTTAGCAGGATGTTGAACAGCGAACTCTTGCCCACATTGGTGCAGCCCAGCAGGTAGACGTCGCCCTTGTAGGCCCACGTCTTGTGCAGCTGCGTGATCAGCTCCTCGATGCCGTAGCCCGTTTTGGCGGATATCAGGCTGACATTCTTCACGTTCAGTCCATCTCCGCCGCCGTGTTTGACGAACTCCCTCATCAGGGAATCCTTGATGTGCTGCAGATAGACATTGGAGTCCCGTGGCAGCAGATCCACCTTGTTGCCTACTAGGAATACGGGTCTCTTGGTGCCCAGCACATGTTGCATTCCCGGCCAAATGGAGCTGGGGAAGTCCAGCAGGTCCACGAGCACAATGGCCAGTGCGAATTTGTCCTGTATGCGGGATATGGTCTCCACATAGGTCGATGGAGCCACCTCTACGTCCAAAGCTATATTGTAGTGGTTCAGGAAGTGGCAGCGCTTGCAGGTGATGGTCTGGAGTTCCTGGTGCGTCCTTCCCCGGAATATTTCACTGGGTATATAGCCGGGAAGGGATTCGCTGGAGCAATGCAAATTGGCGCCACAACCGTTGCAGGGGACTTCTGAGGGGGGAACCGAGGCATCTGGAGTGCCCTTCTTGTCCGCTTTATCCTGTCCGCCCTTGTAGAACTCGTAGTCGTCCATCCAATCCTCGGGAAATGCCGGCTGTGCCTCGGGAATCGAGAACTTTGGCTTTATTTTGGTCTCCAAGACGGAGCTGTAATGGACGTGCTCATGGTCCTGGTACCGCTCCCTGGCGAGCAGCCACGCCCTCTGCCTCGAACTCTGCCCTATTTCAGCAGCCGTATTCTGTAGTCTCGAAAATGTCAAAGTAACATTTTTATTTATAATTTTATATAAACGTGAGGTGCTCTTCAGCATTTTGTAACGATATATTTTGCTAGCACTCGTTGTGATGAGTAACTAGCCTTTTCTGGCGAGAATCATGTTTATTTTCATATATTCCATATTAATATTTAATCATTCAAATTTAATGTTTGAATTTTTTATTATTACTTATCTTCTTTATTATTATTTATCTTCTTTATTATTATTTATCTTCTTTTTATATGTTTCAATTTTCGCTGTTTTTATTCTAGTAACGGAATCGGTATCTCTTCTCCTATCGATATATATTTCCGATTCCTATCGATTACGAGTATCGTCATCTCATCGTTACGTTATCGTAACGTAACGATACGTATACGCAAACACACACGTACGTATGTACATACAAACCAAATTTCCAATCGAGAGGAGAAAAGAAAGTGCGGGACAAAAAAAAGAAGAGAAGCGTGTATGTATTAAAATTGAAACAAAAAGATCTAGAAAAACGTGTCCACGGCGCAATTAGCGTGCTCCTGCGGCGGCTGGCAGGCGATTTACGCATTGGTAAAAGTACAGAGTTCACGAGTAAAAAGTAGTAGCGCACAAAAATGAAATGATTAGGAAAGTGTGTGGAAAAAAGACAAGTGTATGTGAAAGGCGGCTGTACGTGTGAGTGATTGACGCGACTGTATGCGTGCTGCTGCTGCTGCGTGTATATGAAATAAAAAGTAACGCAAAGCGCGACCTAATTTTAACCGAATATTACAATAATATTTGCATAAACAAAGGCGGTGCAATTGAAGGGACGCCAACGCCGCCGCCATTGTCTAGGCAGCAAGGCAGCAGAAAAAGAAAATGGATACCCCAGACTGACACGCTTTTCCGCCGAGTGTAGAGTTCTTCCCGATTGAGTAATGCAATAACAACAATAAGAGCTGCTCAAATTTTTGAGCAAAAAAAGAGTGTTGCAACTTTCGTTGGAACTCGTTTCCAACTGTTGTTGTTGTTGCTGCTGCTGTCGCTCGCTCACTCACTTACTCACCGCCACACTCGCTCCTTTCCATTCTTCTGTTGTTACCAAAAACTGGTCTTCAAGAAGCAACAACAACGGGAAAGAGCAATGCAATTTCTTGACGGGGAAAGGCAAAGGAAGGGGAAAAATCAATAGTTCGGAAATTAGACAACTTTCAACATCCACGATTCAACGAAATGCACTCGGCCTAGAAGAAGCTACCGATAACCCCGGGCGCAAGAGCAAGCGAGATAGTTGCCGCCGCCGACACTCACTCACTCCCTCCCTCACACACACGCTCACTTATGCAGCTGAAATTTCCAGCGATGTCTGCTCCGCGTTGTTGTTGTTGTAATGTAATTGCGAAATCATAACGGCAGTTGAAAGTTGAGAGCGCTTAGCCAAAGTAATCGCGTGAGTGTGAGTGAGCGAGAGAGCGACTGTGTAAGTTTAAGCTCTGATGAACTCTGGATGCCCTTCTCTCAGCCGCCCACACAAACACACAGTCGACCGCAAAGTGTAGCGCACATGAGAGTCGCATCAACAACAATGCTATTCCGCAAGAAGGAAAACACATGTTGGCCGCACAGTGGGACGGAATGGAGTGGGAGTGGAGCGAAGACAAGAAATAACTCAATGGAAGTGCAAATGCCGACGCCATCTTGGTTCTTTTGGATCCAAAAACCCCTAAATGAATGTTATTTTAAAAGGAAGTGCGGCTAAAAATAAATGACAATCGGCAGCTGCATCGAGTGCAACAAATAAATCAAGCGTTCTGAGCCACTGTGCCGCACACTCGGATTCAAATAAGCAAGGCATATTACTGAAAATGCAGAAATTGCCTTGAAAAGTGAAAGGCATTCAACACAGAGCGATCGAGCGACGATTTGATATTTTTGCCTCTTTGCTTAACCTTTGCGGGCAGAGCTGTTTGTTGTTGTTAGCTAGCGCTGGCTCAGCACTTTGACATTTTCCAGCTCACCCAGACACACAAAGGCGGCGGTGCATTCCGAATTCCCATTTCCACACAAACGCTGCACATGCGCCGCAGTACTTTTATTATACCCGTTACTCGTAGAGTAAAAGGGTATATTGTATTCGTGCAAAAGTATGTAACAGGTAGAAGGAAGCGTTTCCGACCCCATAAAGTATATATATTCTTGATCAGGATCACTAGCCGAGTCGATCTAGCCATGTCCGTCTGTCCGTCTGTCCGTCTGTCTGTCTGTCCGTCTGTCCGTATGAACGCTGAGATCTCGGAAACTATAGAAGCTAGAAGATTGGCATTTTGCATGCAGATTCTAGGAATTCCTACGCAGCGCAAGTTTGTTTCAAAATGGTGCCACGCCCCCTCTAACGCCCACCATCGCTTATATACGATTTTAAAAATTTTAATATTTTGGAAAAGTAAAAATGCAGTTTTATTGTGTTTATCAATACCTATCGAAATGTAGAAGAAATTTTTCAAATCGGACCATTCGTTAAAAAGTTATGCGTGATCAACGTTTTCTATCTCTATCTCCATCTCCCTCGCACTCCCTTTACCTGAGTAACGGGTATCTGATAGTCGGGGCATCCGACTATAACGTTCCCTCTTGTTTTGAGAATGTTTTCGGCCGAGAGATATTCGGTAGTGCTGTTTCGCAATTCCCCCGAACCAAACCAAAGCTGCTCTCTCGTAACGCTGCTAATTTCGCCAAGCCGTTGTTTGTTTTTTTTTTTTTTTTTTCTCGACGTGCACTAATGCCGTGTGTTTATTTCCCTTGCAGAGTGCGGACAAGTAAACCCAGTCGAAAACCCACGGATTAAGTGGTCTGCTGTGCGAATTAAGCCCATCTAACGGTGAACCTTTCGGCCAATAGTCCAAATTAAGCCTCCTGCCCCCAGAATTTAGTCCAGCGAGCGACGCCCCCACCAACAAAAGCTTCTTCATGATGTCGTCGGATCAACAATTCTTTCTGAAATGGAACGATTTTCAAACGAATATGGTGACCTCGTTCCGTCACTTGCGCGACGAGAAGAGCTTCACAGATGTGAGTACCCGAAAGAACCTTCGCAGAGACGATGGGGAAATCCCTTTCGAAAATCTAATTACAGTCGAACCTCTCTAGGTTGAACGCTTAGAACTTTGATTTGAAAAGATCTATTTTTTTTATTCCAAAATTTTTAAATATTTCTAGATTATATTCGATTTTTAAGTAAATGTATCTTTCGCATTCAGAAAGTTAGTGCTAATTGTAGCCGAAAATATAAGTGAATAACTTTATTATCAGTAATAACGTTTTAAATTCTATTTATTAACATCGCATCAGTTTGCATCTTTAAAATCACATATTAGCTAGAGAAGTTCGACTGTAATTGCCCATTCTCAGGGGCGAGCTGAGGTTTATTATGCTACTCTTGGCCCGATTAGCTCTTGGCCGCCCCTTGTGGAGGGTCAGTCACCGGCTCAGCTCACTTTGTCTGACTACCTGGCCCTCACGCTCTTTTTCTATCCATTTTTCTTTTACCCGTTTCTTTGTTCTCCGCTTTGCGTTTTCTTTACAATTTTTGGTGATTTGGTTGCTGCTTGATTTAAGGGAAAATGCGGACGGAAAATAACGGATTTAACTGATTTCTTGAGTCTTATTTTTTCAGGTTACACTCGCCTGCGAGGGCCAAACCTGCAAAGCTCACAAAATGGTGCTTTCGGCTTGTAGTCCCTATTTCAAAGCGCTATTAGAGGTGAGTTTGCGATATAATCCAACAAAGCAATCAACTAATGTGGTTTCTTCACCCACAGGAAAACCCATCGAAGCACCCGATTATTATCCTGAAAGATGTCTCCTACATCCACCTACAGGCTATACTGGAGTTCATGTACGCCGGCGAGGTGAACGTGTCCCAGGAACAGTTGCCAGCATTTCTTAAGACCGCCGATCGCCTCAAAGTGAAAGGCCTGGCAGAGACACCGAGTTCAATAAAGCGGGAGGGTTGATGGTATTAAACAATAAACAAACAAAACAAAAAATACATAAAAATAACAACAACTATAAGAAACTTATATGTATGCAAGAAAACAAAATTCCAACCAGAGATGAAAGAGAAAACATAACGAGAACGACATTTGGTATACAAATTCATGTAAGAGTACACTAGGAGGAAGAACACCAACAGACAACCACACAAAGCTGACAGATATAAATGATTAGCCTGTAAAGTAAAGGTGGTGGCCGAATCCACCCGCCCACTCCCACACCCACTCATTCACATCTGACCTTCCGATTTGCAAAACAACACTTACCGACGCCCCCCACAGAACTTGATTTGAATTTTGTATTCGTTTGATTTCTGCATAAAATAGTTTGTAATATATTATTAACAACTCAAGAAACGAAACACACCACTCTGTATAAATGAAACGATATGGACAGCCCCTAAACAAAGCAAAGCAAAACAAAACAAAAAACGAACTTTTGTAAAGTAATTAAAGAGGATTCATTAAAAATATATAAAGATAATTATAAATATAGTGTGAAATGTGCAAGTAGAAGGAAAAAGCCACAATGGGCGCGAATATTACAACACATTCGGTTAGTTTTTAAGCCACTAACTACAACCCCAGACATGCCACGCCTACAGACAGACAAAACTCATTTTCATCTATACTTAAACAATAAAATAGAAACAAATGCAAAATTGTACTTTAATTTTTGTGAGCGGACATACGCGGCCTATTTTCAAATTTTTCAACTATACACGAGATATATATTTTAATAATAACAAACGAAAGGAAAAACTTTTCTATGTGAAGCTATCAATTCTACTTAGTTTAAACAGAAGAGTAAGGAAAATCGATAGAGAGAAAAATAAAACTTGAGTAAAAACTATACTTGAATATTATTACATAAAGTAAAATATTTATATGTATGTATATGTATACATGTGAGCATAGATTTAAAGAAACTACGGTAAATAAACAGAATAATTCCAAAAAAATATGGTCAAAAATTCGATACGATTGGTAATTTCTTCGTGTTTATTTTTATAGTCTTTCATAACATACTCATCTCCATTAGCATCATACTCTGTATACAGTAGTTCGTTTACAAATTAACAAACATATGTTCGCTTAGTTTAAATTACACTAATATTTGATATATTGCCGGATTGGATCTCGCTCGCTGCACAACGCAGTGGATTTAGATCTAGATTCTAGATTCACATTAAGCTACAGTTCTTAGTTGTTGAAACAGTACGCGTTGCGCGTGTGCAGTTCGAATGGATCGGTGCGCATCTTCTGCTGATTATCCTCCACGAATCTCGCCACATCGGCCACCAGATTGGGTCGCTCCTCGGCGCTGGCGGCGCACGGTGACCAGATCTTGATGTCGTGGTCAATGCCACTGGTGGCCAGCATACAGATGCTCGGATGTGGCTGCACGCAATTGACAATGGCACTGTCGGCCCGATAAACGGACCGAATCTTGCCCGTATCTCCCTCCCAAATGTACAAATTCCCATCATCCGAACCGGCGGCGATGAACTCTCCTTGGCTGCCCAGATAGTTGGCCTCCTTGATGTCCGTCGTGATGTTGCAGTGGCCCACATAGCGTTGCATATAGTCCCGGGCCGTGGAACGGAGATCATACTCGGCGTCGGTCAGCCGCAGATAGCGGAAGCCATCCTCCATGGCCACTGGCTCTGGTTCGGGTGGCTCGGTGTTCTGCGACTGCCGGCGATTCTCCTTGATATCCTTGTTCAGCATGAGCACGCCGTGATTGTTGGCAAAGTCCGGAAACCGCTGGATGAGTGCCTGCAGGCACTTATCCGCATCCTGCGGGCGATGCAGCTCCAGCAAGGCCCTGGCCAGTCGAAAGTGAGCCTTCACATAGCTCGGATCCAGGCGCAAGGCCTCGTGGCAATCCCTGAGAGCCGCGTATATGTCCCCGAACCAGCCGCGTCGCATCAGAGCCGTGGCTCTGTTCAGATACAGCACCTCGCCCTTGGGATACTTGGCCAAAGCCGCTGAATACGCATCGATGGCATCCACAAGTTTGCCGTTCTCCAGGAACTCATTGCCCTCCTTTTTATGCACCTCTATGCTGGAGGGCAGCGAGCGGCTCTTGTGCGGCGCCTTCACCGGCACCTCCTCCTCCTCCTGGGCGGCAGGTGATGTGTAGGTGGGCAGTTCGTAGAACACCGGCGGCTCGGCATGGTTCAGATCAAAGCGGTAGACGTGCTCGCAGCCCATGTTCACCAGCAACTCCGTGCCATTGCCATTAAAGGTGAGATAGGTGATGGCCCGCGACTCGTGCACAATGTTCCTGGTGATGTTCTTCACGATCTGTCCGGGAGCATAGTAGGCCACGCAGGCCGAGAGACCTAAAAACAGAGATTAGAGTTGGTGCAGAACCTCTAATTTGAGATACTCACCATTACCATCGGTGGCGGGCAGCTTGCGGCGATCGTACAAGCGGGCAAAGGGATCGTTGGTGCCCACGGCCAGGTACTCCGTCCTCCGGGGATTGATGGCCAGGCACTTGGCCTCCGCCGTGAAATCCGCCTGGTTGCACAGGCTCAAGAGCTTGACGCCACTGCCCTCCTCAGGACGACAGCGATGTGGCTCCCGCATGTCCAGCTGCAGTATGCAGCCATCCTCCCCGGCCGACCAAAAGATGTGCGGCGAATCCTGGGCGGTGGCCAGACGCTTGGCCCGCATCATGTGGCAGTTGCAGGCGAAGAGGGTCTCATTTGAGTGATTAATGTCGTAGACGTAGATGAACTTATCGGCTGCACACGTAGCCACAATGCTGTTGTTGGTCTTGGGCAGGAACTTGACCGAAAACATGTTGCCCAGGTGCTTGGTGCGGATGACATGGACCCGTTTCTTCCGGAACGGATCCCAGATCATCACGCGATAGTCGTCGGATCCGGAGGCCAGCCACAGGCCATCGGTGGTCCATTCCAGGCAGTTGACACAGCCCTCGTGGCCGGCGAGGACCGCCTCCTGCTCCAGGCGATCCACATAGGCCGGGGAGGCCAGCAGCCGTCGGCGGAGCAGCTCGTCGAGATCCTGGCCATACTGCTGGCGCTGCCAGTGCAGCGAACTGGCGTTCAAGGGCGTGTTCTGGCGCTGATAGCGCGAACTAGAGTACTTTACGCGATACAGTTCATCGCTCGACATTATCTCCGAGTGCTGTGGATAGGATTATGACACTTGTTTCTGTTTGTTTTCGTCTCGCTCTCCGTTTAATTCATTTTGCATTCGCTGACTGCCCCTCTTCCCCGCTTCGCCGCCCCTTGGGTCCACCCTGCGCTGTTGTTGACACCTGTGCGTGGCGTTGCCAGACCCGCGCGAGTCTCGTAACGGCTTACGTGGTCTTAACGGGAATGGATTACAGAATTTCAAAATGGTACAAATTTCTTTCAAAAATACAGGAAAGTTGAAAGATAATGTTCAGCTTAATACACAACTGAATTATATAGCGACAAAATTGGGCTAAACTCACCCAAATGTATATCAATCGATAGCATGGCGGACTTTTCAAATTTTTGTCTTTTGAAAACCGCTATTGAAGTAAAATGTTCTAATCATAATGCTGGAAAGAAACCTTTAATCAAATATACCTGTTAATAATTTTTTAAAGTCTACTTACCCCAATGCCCATATAGTAGTCTCAACGCGAACACTCCCTGTGCGATTCGTTACTACGTGGTCTGTCTGCAGTGACGAGTATGGAACTAGTCCCAAAAACTTGAAACTCGACGTATATTAAATAATCCAAAAACTTATATAAAAAAGTGTTATATTACGCTAAATAGTAGTACGAACTTTCGATATCTAAAATTGTAATGTTTCAGTAGTATTCAGTATAGCTACCCGTTTCAACATTATCGGAATCTCGTCTTTCTGAATGATATTCTACAGGGAAGTCGTTGTCGTAGATGTCGTATGAATAGTATACGTTCAAATATGCCTCATCAATGTCGTCTACCTGAAAGAAAAATCTTGTTGAGGGCCGTGGAATCTGTTATTATCAATTCTACTTACATGGAAGTTTGGAAAAAGGGAATCTTCAATTATAAAAAGTTGTAACGGCTCTTGAATCACAGGATCTCTTACAGATTTAAGAATTTGGTTAATTCTACTTGCAAGGTTTGTAGCTACTGCCTCTCCTTCCAATGTGGCGCACTGAAGCTTTTGGCACAATAGAAAAATCGGCAAAACGCTTTCAATATCTTCCCTTTTCCACTCAGGACAAACTATTCGGAGGGATTTTAGTTCACTTAGTCGGCATAGATCTGAGAAGTTGTCACATACATATTCGTACAAGATATTTAATTTTAATAACGATTTAATGCCGGATATTTCACGAATCTCATCAGAACATAGGTCTGTTGATGTATGCAGCTCTTGTAACTTGGGTTCACTTTTATGGGCAAAGGCCCGGAAAAGTTCAATAAGATTACCATCGGCACGGTCTATGATTAATGATTTTAGGTTTCTTATGTTTGCCAAAACTTCTAGTCCCGGCTCATCGTGCAATGAGCATTTTAGGGATTCCAATTTTTCAAGTTCAACAAAATATTTGCACTCATTGAATCCGATATGGAAATTTAGTTCTAATTTCTGAAGAGTACTAGGCAGTGATTTAAGTATCACAACATTTAATGGGTATACACAAACGAACAAATCATCATCACAAAAGTTGTCAACGGATAGGTGCTCCAAGTGTGGAAATAAATTTAATATTGGCGCACATTCCAAATTAAAATATTTTACACTCAAACTTTTTAGACTTTTAAGCTCCGTAATTTCAGCTATTCTTAACATGGTAAAGTACTTCACTTGAAAATTAAATTCTTCAACAGACGAGTTGGCTAACTCTGAAAAGGATCGTATGTTTATGAAGTCACAGGACTGGCACACCAGTTTTTTCAGTGACCTTATTTGGGAGACCTGTATAACTTCTTGGGTATCAAGTTGTCGACAAGATATACATCGAATTTTGTTCTTTTCAGCCAATTTTGTAAAAAGAGGGACTAGGTGGCCCGAACCGAAAATTTCCAACTCCTCGAGGTTGTTTAACTCTCCCAATTTCTCAATACCAGCTGTGTCAAGCAGACGGCATTTCAGTTTCTTAATGCTTCGAATCTCTGCCACTTTGGAAATATCTTCGAAATTCCGGAGATCATGTAAATCAGAGATATCCAATTCTTGGATTGCACTTGAGTTGCTGGTGACAAATGCTTCAAAGAATAAATTGAGGGAGGCAGGTTCCGAATTCCCTGAAACCTGCAGGGTGCTAACGTTATTAAGTTGAGCCAGGGAACTCAGAATATCGGCGTGACATTTTTCTTTCATTTTAATCTTTAGAATTTGTTCCATTCTTTTAAAGGTAAGTTTAAATCTATCGCATATTACCGTAGCCTGCACCTTACATGCAGTTAGCAGATCAAAAAGTATCTTTGGGTTATAGAAATCAATAGAATCTCGGACTTTTATCACAACGTGCTGTAGTTCAGTTAATTCATTGAAGAACTTAATTAAGTTCCATTTGCGGATGTGGCACCCCAAAAACCGAATTGATACTATTTTAGCAAGTTCTACAGCCTCTAATTCATCGATAGATCCATAGTAAATTTTGCAGGCCTTTAAATAAAATGAACCTTTTGGGACCATTAATGAAAGTAGCTTTGGAAGCGATGGGGGAGGGAATGAATCATGAAATCTTTTAAGTATGACCAAGCGACTTAGATTGGGTAGCTTTAATAAGGGTCTCATTTCACTAAATTCATTTAATTTCGAGTTTCTATATAGTTTTATTTCCAGTTCTTCCTTGTACTTGTCAAACTTTATTCTGAGATGTTGACCATCAGCTACGGTTACGAGGGACTCCTCTATTAAACTGCTGACTTCCGATATTTCACACAAATCATAGGAGACTTTGGTGCGCGAGTTATATATATAAAAACATTGAAAGGAGTCCAAAGCAGCAAACGTAATATTCCTAATTGTATTGCGCCGTGGCACTCTTAGATCATCTTCGATGGTCAGTATCAATGGTCGCAGTCTTCTAGGTCTGCGCCATTTTCTTAACTCCTTAAAAAATAACAATTGCGAACCGCTTTCTAGAATTCCAGTAATAATAAGGTTTTCTAAATTGGGAAACTCTGCTAGCGCTGCATATTGGGCAAGCCCGATTTCCGAGTTGAACTTAATATTCAGTTCCTTAAGATTTTCGCAATGAGGAGCGATAATGGAAACATTTCCGTCAATTTCAATGCCAACTTTCAACTTTCTTAGACTTGGGTTCAAGATACAGAGGTTAGCTAAATCGTGTGCGGTAATATTTCCGTCTAACTTTAAGTTTTGGGCGACTGTACGGTTTGATAAGATACCTAAAAAAATGAATAAAAAAATGTTAAATCTTAAAACAAATCTTAATATAATATATATATAAATAAATTCCAAATTAAGACTGGTAGGAGTGGATGTGGAAAAGGCATCAATTGCTTCCGAGATCTTAACGTTTATAAGGACAAGTTGACAAACAGGCGGTAGTGGTATTTATAACGAATATCTGTACTTTATTGGGTACAAAATGCTTCGAAATACCTATTACACTAGTTTACAAAATAATATTCTTGGTGTGCTCCCCAGCAAATGATGGCAAATTCTGTTAGTTTTGGACCCCTAGATCACGAAAATAGCACTAATTTTTTTTTCGATGGCACAGTTTTTTTTTAAAGATTTTTTAAAGTTCGAAATGTTAAATTTCTGACTTTTTTCGAATTTCTTCTTATATCTCGCCAGATATCCACTCGATTGGGCCAGTTTTAGTTTTATTTTAAAGTCAATAGATCAGAGCCTAACTTTGCCATACAGATCAATATGATTGGATAAGTAATGGCAGCACAGAAGCTCGACAAAGATGAAAAATGTGTTTTTTGGTCGACTGTAAGTCGGCTGTATATATCGTAAAAACTCGAAATAAATCCGTTGAAAAATCATAATGGGTACAAACTTAAAGTTTACATCCTACCGAATAAAACAAGCAGGATATGGCCCACATCCATGGAAAATTGGATTTATGGTGGATTTTTAAAGTTCGGATTTTTCCACTTTTTTCGGTTGACAGAGTCCAAATTTAATATTTATCATAGGCGGCGACATGTAAACAAAAATAATTGGTGTTGGCAGCCGGGTCACTTAATAGCTAAATCAGATATTTAAAAGCTAGAAAATTATTAAAGTGAATTTAATTTTTGAAATTAAGGTTACTTTTTTCATAAGAATGAACTATCCAAATGGATAGTACTTAATTAAAAACACTCACAGTCATAACGGAAGCAATTTTATATTTTTAAAGGAATGTTCAGAAATTAAATTTTTGTTATAATTTTTTAGCTTTTAATTTTAGCTATTTTTTGACCCGCCTGCCGTCACCACTCATTTTGGTTTACATGTCGCCGCCTATGATAAATCTTAAATTTGGACTCTGTCAACCGAAAAAAGTGGAAAAATCCGAGCTTTAAAAATCCACCATAAATCCAATTTTCCATGGATGTGGGCCATATCCTGCTTGTTTTATTCGGTAGGATGTAAACTTTAAGTTTGTACCCATTATGATTTTTCAACGGATTTATTTCGAGTTTTTATGATATATACAGCCGACTTACAGTCGACCAAAAAACACATTTTTCATCTTTCTCGAGCTTCTGCGCTGCCATTACTTATCCAATCATATTGATCTATATGGCAAAGTTAGGCTCTGATCTATTGACTTTAAAATAAAACTAAAACTGGCCCAATCGAGTGGGTATCTGGCGAGATATAAGAAGAAATTCGAAAAAAGTCAGAAATTTAACATTTCGAACTTTAAAAAATCTTTAAAAAAAAACTGTGCCATCGAAAAAAAAATTAGTGCTATTTTCGTGATCTAGGGGTCCAAAACTAACAGAATTTGCCATCAATTGCTGGGGAGCATTTCGGCTGTAAACTAGTGTTATCCTTTCTGGTTTGAATTTGTTTTCAGAAAATATCCTTACCTTGTCATTCTAATACCCTGTAAGAAGTAAGGCAGAAGCCAGAACTGACATTATTTTGGACCAACACTTACCATTTATATTTATGTTGACATTGATCATTTTGATCATAGTCCAGCTCCCATCGTCACGCTCAACGATAACGGAATTTCTTTTACTGAAAGAAAGCTCAACGTCAAAGGGATTTCTTTTTCTAATAGATTGTACGTAGGATTGCCAGAAACATTCATTTTGTTGACTTGATAATTTATTGATGCGCAGATGTAATAGGTGCTTTGTGATTCTCAGTGCAATATTCAGCTCCAGATCATCGTACAAACGTTTATGATATTCCGCAAACAATTCCATTATAAATTCATCGGTCAGCACAAAGTTGATTAAATCATCATATGGATCAGATGGATCAGAGTTCACTAAATCATCATACTCGCTATTTTTGTTTTTCAAGTTGCAATCAGTAATTACGTAATTCATAATCTCCAAAAGGCAGTCGTGGTTAATAATAAATTGGCCATTCTCGTCCATTTCATAAACTTATCAGTTATTTACCAATGTTGAGCTTTTCGGGATGCTTAATTTTGTTTGCATATAGAAAAGAGAAAATAAAGCGAGTTTTTTTAAATTGACTAACATGTGATTAACCAAGATGTTTTAACTATCTACGACCTTTTTGGTTAAATCTCTAATAGTAAACTTTATAGTTCAGAAAGTCACAAAACTTGGCGTTTACAGTACAACTTTCTTTCGGGGAATATTTAACTACTACGTTGTAAACTCATTAAATGATATAAATCAAATGAGCATATTTCTGTAAAATTAGGATTCGAAATTCCAACGGAGCTGAAGCCTAAAGCGTTTGGCGTGAACCATACTTTTTTTGCACTTTTAAAAGTTGTAGGGTAATGTGACGAACGGTTTGTTTTTTAATGTAATTTTCCCAAAAATCAATATTTTTTAAAAGTGTATAAGCAAAAAGTGTACATCTAGTAAGCATATTTTCATCGAATTTAAATACCACAGCTTTTGGCGTGAGCTGTCCTTTCCAACTGACGGCACAACTAAAAACCATAAAAAGCTACAAGAAAACTGCAGCATTTAATGTTATCTGGTAATATTATAGGGGGATTCCCTAAACTGTTGAATTGCTGAATTGTTGAAAAGTCAACACAAAATTTCAGCAACTAAGGGAACGACCCAAAATGGTTCCTGTTGAATTTTCAAATAGCTGTTATTTGTTAAAAAGTTTCACGGAACTTACAGCATGTAAAATTTGATTTATTATTGCTAGTTACTGTCTAAAAGTGTTACCAAGGTAAAAAGAACCACAAATAGGCTTTTTAAGTTGATTTTAAAATAAATAATGCGTACTGGTGATACTAAAATGTTACAGAGTTGCCACGACTTTTAAAAAAAGGTGACAACTCTGGCTTTTCAGCAATTCAATAAAATTTTCAGCAGCCCCGAGGCTGTTGAATTGCTGAAATTTCTGAAAGTTGAATTTGTATGGAACAGCTGATGAACAGCTGACCAAAAGTCAACAATTCAGCAAATCAACAGTTTAGGGAATCCCCCTTATAGTTTTCTACACAAAATCAACGATAACAATTAAAATTCTTGAATAAAGAAAAATTTTCACCATACAATATTAAATGTTCGTCACAATACCCTACAAGGTACACTTCAAGCAAAAACGGTGTCACTCTCAAACGGCGCAAAATAAAAAAACGCCAAGGCACCAAAAAGTGTTGATAAAGATCTAATTTATACTTGTATATATTTATTTAATTTTATTTCCAACACATCTTTTTTAGAAAAAAAAAAAAAATTACGGGACTTTTTATTAATAAGGTCTTCCATCCACCATGTACCATCCGTTGAACGGATGGTCCGTAAGGTTTTCCCGTTTCGAAAATTTCCCAGTTAGGATTAGGAGAACGCAATTTTACGATAGTATTGCTGAGTTGAAACGCCCCTTAGTTTATGTTGAGATGAGCAACAGGTCTTCAGATCAGCTGTTATTGGATGTGGATGTGGATGGAAACTCTATTGGAACACGAATTGGACATTTGTCAAAAATCCCAACCGTTTCACACGGATGGACTCTATGGGAAGTGGCTATAATTTTACTGTACATACATTGTCGACACGATAAGAGGAAACGACTACATTTATTTGGAATTTTTGTCGTGACGTCATATGTGAGATTCGACGAGTTCGTCACATTACCCTACACTCCCCTACCATTTTGCAGATAAGCGTATGTCACGTTGCAATCTACATACACACGAACTGATAACCAAAATATGTTTTTTGTGAAACATAAGTGTCAAAATATTTCAGAAACATATTTTTATACTTTCATAAATATAAATCTATCGGATAGGGCTGTAATTGTGGTAATTACTATTTTTACAAAGTAAGCACACAGATACCAATTTCAGAAGTAATTTTAAAAAAAAACATTACCATTACGGTACTTGATTTCAACTATAAAACACCACAAATATTGAGGCTGAGAAAGATGATTTACAAAGAGATGTGGATTACATGAATAATGCACTAATAACAACCTTTGTCTTGCTTTAAAAATGCTTTTTAGCGATTGGGGTCACCAGGATGAAAACTAAACCGTTTAAGAATTTGCTAGCCACAGTGTGGCCATTTCATTCGAAGTAATTGAAACCAGGGCTGCTAGCCCCCCAAATCACTGAGACCTATCGACTAATCGATAGTTTGCCAAATCAATAGAGTGCAAACTTTACACATCCCTGATAAACTAAAAGAAAAAGATTGATTAATTTAATACCACGGAAGTCGCGACGGGGTGAGAAAAAGCGAGACATGTCCAATGAAAAGGAGGACGAGTGCGACAAGCACAAGCAGCAGGCGGAGGCGGACGGCAAGTCGACGTCTAGCGAGGATTCGGATGAGTACCAGTCGGCCGGTGAGGGCGACGATGGCGAAGGCGACGGCGACGGTGATTCCCCGACGAGCGCCACGCCCACAGCCACCAAGGCAGCCCCGCCGCCACCGCCCACATCCGAGCCCCTGCCCCTCGACTATCCGATGCACCAGAGCGTCTTCGAGGACGACATCAAGTCGCTGCAGCGCCGCCTTCTTTTGGCCACTGCCCCGGATGAAGTGGGCCGCAAGGACAAGCACGGCAACACGCCACTCCATTTGGCCGTCATGCTGGGCAGGAAGCACGCCGTGCGCCTGCTCCTCGCCCAGAACGCCCCCGTGAAGATCAAGAACAACGAGGGCTGGTCCCCGCTCTCGGAGGCCATCAGCTATGGCGACCGGCAGACAATCACCCAGGTGCTGCGCATGCTCAAGCTGCAGTCGCGCGAGCACATGGAGAGCCGTCGCGAGAAGCTGGTGAATGCCCTGCGCCAGATGCAGGACTTCTACATGGAGTTCAAGTGGGATTTCCAATCCTGGCTGCCGCTCGTCTCCCGCATCCTGCCCTCGGACATCTGCCGGCTGTACAAGTGCGGCGCCTCCATTCGGCTGGACACCACGCTGGTGGACTTCAACGACATGCGCTGGGAGCGCGGCGACATCTCGTTCCTGTTCCGCGGCGAGGCTCCGCCGCGGGAGTCGCTGGTGCTGCTGGACAACGAACAGGAGTGCTTCCAGCGGCTGCGCTACGAGGAGTCCGACATGGAGGACGAGGTGGACGTGCTGATGTCCACCGATATTTTGGCCACCCAGATGTCCACCAAGACGATACAGTTCGCCCGGGCGCAACGCGGCTGGATATTCCGTGCGAATCGCAAGGAGCTGATTGGCGGGCAGTACCAGTGCGAGATCTACACCATCCAGGGCCTGATCCTCAAGCAGCGCAAAAGGCGCGAGCACCTGTCGCACGAGGATCTGCAGAAGAACCGCGCCATTGTGGAGACAATCACCAAGGGTGGCAATCAGCAGTCGCAGCCGCCGCAGCAGCAGCCGGATGAACGGCGCTCCAGTTTGGGAAGCCAGAATTCGCCGAATGGCATCACACTGCCCGAGCTGCCGCGACGCAGTTCGCTGCAGGCGCCACCTGCGACGACGGTCACCTGGCGGCAGTATCTCGACGCGGAGGTGGGCAAGTGCCCGCAACTGGGCAGGCCGCCCGTCCACAAGCAGTCGAACAAGACGCTGCGCGCCACGGTGGCCATGAGCAAGGACTTCCCGCTCAGCGTGGACATGCTGCTGGACGTTCTGGAGGTAGTGGCGCCCCTCAAACACATTAACAAGCTGCGCGAGTTCGTCACGCTCAAGCTGCCGACGGGCTTTCCCGTGAAGATCGAGATACCCGTGCTGCACACGGTCACCGCCAAGGTGACGTTCCAGAAGTTCGAGTTCCGCGACAACATCCCCGCCAAGATGTTCGAGGTGCCGTCGCACTACTGGGAGGATGTGCGTCGCTTTCAGGACTTATGACCAGGCGACGGAGAAGCCGCCGCGAAGCCGAAGGCCTCTGGAGCGGCAGGAGCAGCGCCGGGCGTCCGTGTCGATTTGAATCGCAATGCACCGCCGCCCTCCATCGCGGAATTCGATTGAGGAGGCGGCACAATTTGTGTTGTCGGGTTTTTAGAAAACCTCTGGCTGGCCAAGGCCGGCGGAGGATCACTGCTCCAAAATGGGCAGTGTGTTTATGTATGTATGCTTAAGAGGAAACCACCCACATACAAAATTGCAATTTTCACCCCTTAGAGGATTCTATTTATTACGCCTTCAATGCAGCTGTCTAAATCCAAATAAGACGCTCTGAAAATTGCAATTTTACATTTACGTTTTGTTATGTACTGTATTTGTTTGTAATTAAGCCCCCTTCACCAAGGGTTATTATTTCGTAGTATTTATTGTTAGATTCAACAACATTCTGCCCAGGCTCGCCCTCAAAACAGCTGCTCTTTCGGCGAGGAAACCAGAAAGTTCTATTCCCGAAATTGCCTTTCCTATCGGCAGTGAGGTAAAAATAATTGTCCAATCGCCAGATACGCCGGCTGATAGCCACGATCCATCCTACATAATCAAAAGGTAGTTAGTGAGTAATCAGATTTTACCAAAAGTCCGATCGTTTCACACACACCGCTTATCATTTTATTTATGTCCACATCCTCTTCCGCGTTTAGTGCAATTTCATACGTAGATTTAAGGTCAACCAAGGAAGCCGGATGTTTATTTTCGGCCCTTTCCAAAAGAGTCTGCCCCCCGCTTGAAGAGCGTACATCCAACCATCTTGCGTTCTTTTTATACTTAGGCTACGTGTACTAGAGAATCGTCCGCAAAACAAAACAATTCCCACACCATTTTCATAATAGTCTCAAGTATTTCGAAGTGCGCAAACTAAAAACAGCTTCACAAATCAATTATATATAAATATTTATACATATGTACCAATGTATTTATGTAGTTCCATTTTAGCCAATTATTTAAACCGTAAAAAAGCGTCTGTACTTGTATTGTATTTGTTAATCAACAAAGGCAGCTAGAACCGATTTAGTTACGGTTCGCATTGCTTTGCTGTGATTTTGCCCTTATAACTTACAACCACAATTGTTTGCCTTCTACAGAGTATGACTAAGCGCTATGTATTTATGTGAAACTGCCATTATTTGTTTGTTTTTTCTTTCGGGCACAACCTTTGTTTATTTTTTATAGAATTCCAGCACACCACATAAGTGAAATCAATGCGATAATCAAATGAAATCGTTTTTAAACATTTAATAAACCGTAATCCTAGATCCAAACTCATCCACACCAGAAATCTGATAGAAACCAAATCGGTATATTTTACTAGTTAAGGGCAATTGATGGAAATATTTATATTTGTACGTGGCCACCCCAATTGTAATTGAACCGAGCATTTGTATACGCTCTAAAAAATAAATATATACACACATCCGCAAGCTGTAAAATGTGCAAACCCAGAGAAAGGTGTTTTATTTGTAAACAAAAATGGGTGTGGGCAGAAGATTTGAATGTGGCGCCATTTGCGTGTTTTGTCACACTGTCATTGGGCGTTAGCCAACACTACTCTGGGGCCGAATCAGCTGTTTCTTGACTCACAATCTCGGAAATCTACGCAAAAATTAGGAGAACTTTTGGTTTTTAATCGAAAAAAGGGATAACTGAGGTCTTTAAGGATGATTGTCTCGCGCCTGGCATTCCCCATCAACCTGGCCCTGCGGCAGTTCTCGCGCAGGGTGGCGGAAAACCCCGCAAATCTCCGAATCCTGCAGCGCCACATGTCCAGCGTGTACTTCCGTTCCGGAGCCATCAAACCCAAGCCCGAGGAGATGCCTTTTGGCCTGCTGGCCATCTTTTGCGCCGTTATCCCGGGTCTCTTCGTGGGCGCCACCATCAGCAAGAACGTGGCCAACTTCCTGGAGGAGAACGACCTCTTCGTGCCCGCCGATGACGACGACGACGAGGATTAATCTCCAGACCTAAAGCGTCATCTTCATGTGGGAGTGCCTCCTAGTCGGGATGGATATGTTTGCTCGGAGTCGTTGTCCCACGCAGAAGAACCCAACACTCGGCCAAACTCGGATTATTCATCTGTTAGCCAACTTTTTCTATTTAAATCTATACTCTTAAGATCCTTTGGCATTTTATGTGTTTTGTGTGTATTCTTCAAGTCCCGCTTTGATATTTTTCACTTAACGAAGGTTGACTATGCTCGACAGATTCACGAATGTTACTAGAATTAAATAAAGTTTATTCGAATATGCTAAATGCTAGTCTTTGTTGTTATATAAGTGTCATACGTTGGAATAAATGGTATGTATATATGGATAAAAAGCATATTTATCATCCCATTTGGGCATTCAAAAATAAAATTTCGATATATAAGTTGTAAGTAAAAAACCAAAATATAACAAGAAAGATTAAAGTTGATTGACTCGACTATCAGATACCAGTTAGCCTGTAAACCAATTTCGAAGAATAAATTTTTCCTTCCATCTTTTTATACCCTTGCAGAGAGTATTATAATTTTGGTCAGAAGTTTGTAACGCAGTGAAGGAGACGTTTCCGACCCCATAAAGTATATATATTCTTGATCAGGATCAATAGGGGAGTCGATATAGCCATGTCCGTCTGTCCGTCTGTCCGTCTGTTTCAATACCGTTTGCGAGCTCAGTTTAAAAGCTAGCGCCTTGAAACTTTCACAGTCGTCCTAAAACATGTGTACGCAGATCAAGTTTGAAAGCCGACCCGGTCGGACGTCTATATCCTATAGCTCCCATAGGAACAATCGGATATAGCTTTCACAAAAATGAAGATATTTCGCTCAGTGTAAGAGCTATTGGCATGAATCTTTCCAAATCGTATTTTTTTGTGCGTACCTTGATCAGGGTAAAAGCGCGTGCCGATCGGACGTCTATATCTTATAGCTCCCATAGGAACAATAGGGTGAAATCGGTCAAAATTTGACGTTTTTCAGGATATTTCGCGCAAAATATTAGCTATTCCCATGAAACTTTCCAAATCGTATTTTTTTGTGCGTACCTTCATTAGGGTAAACGCGCGTGCCGATCGGGCGTCTATATCCTATAGCTCCCATAGGAACAATAGGGTGAAAAATTTTAAAATTTTATTTTTTCAATTATAAAATATTTTGTTGTTTATTAATGCATGTTGGTAGTCTAGTCAAGTTTTAATTCGTAAAATCTGCAAGGGTATTAAAACTTCGGCTTGCCGAAGTTAGCTTCCGTCCTCGTTATAGAATAAAATGTCTTCCCCAATAACTTTTAAATTCATAAATAACTCCGGTTTTAAATAAACCCCGGCTTAGGCCATCCCACCATACCCCCCGAAAAATGAAACACTCTTCTTTTGCCGAAGTGGAATTTTATTGTAATTAAATTTGTTGGGTGTACAAAGGTATGTTTTACGGACTTCTCTGCGTTCATTACAATTTATTCAAATGGTTTTAATTGCTGGGTTTTGCTTCAAAGATGCGCAATCAAATTTCAACAATCCTATTTTTGTTTAATTATACAAATTATGTTTTATATCGCTTTAATATATAAGGGTACATATATATCTGCTATATATATAGAAGTGTGTTGACTTGCGTATATTTTGTGAAAAGTAAAAGTTTTCTTTCCCTTCAAATTTTCAGAAAATTCGCAATCCCTAGAATATTATCCAATTCCAATTCGGGTTTTGGTTATGTTTTCTGTTTTTCTTATTTGTTTGCGTTTTTTAAATATGTTTGCATTTTTTGCATATATATATGGTTTTGTGTTTTGCAATTTTTTCAATGATTTTCGCTTGGTTTTTTATTTGTTTTTAGTTTTCGATTTGTTTAATAAAAAAATATGAATTTCACTGCCCCGAGCGGCGATTTTACTTCCGCTTGCATCAAATATATCGTATTATGTGTGGTGTAAAAACATTTTTTACTGGTAATATTCTTGATTCTCTTTGTAACAGAAGTCGGAACGCAAATAAAATCGCAGCGGCGTTCGCAATACAAGTTCTTTTTAAATATATATTTTTGCAAATTGTAATAAATTTATGTATGTTCTTTCTGCTCTGCTTTGCTTCACTTCTTTTGGGTAATCATAAAAATCATGCTTGCTTTACTTGCCCTTGGGCTGTCTCGCCCTTTTTCATTAATATGCTTTCATAAGTTTTTCACGCTTTAGCGCTTTTCATGTGTTTCTTGTATTTCTCATATATGTTGTTGTTGTTGTTGTTGTTTAATATGTGTGTGTGGATGTGTGTTTATATATATTTTCTTTTTTTGCTGTTTTTACATAAATTTTGCAATTTTTTTGTAGGTTTTTTCATTTTGTTTTGTTTTCATTTTTTCAACATATTTTCTCTGCTGTTGGTTTTTTGTATTTTCTTTCTTTTTTCAAAGTAGCAAAAACTTGACTCTCATATTCTTGCGGTTTTCTTTTTCCTTTCTCTTCTGTTCTGCACAGTTTGCTTTACATTTTTTCGTTTTTATTTTAACTTTTTTGCAATTTTTTTGTTTTGTTTTCTTTGCTTTTTTAAAAGTGTATGGTTGTCGCGTTTCTTTTTCTAAACAAAGCTTTCTTAAAGTTTGAATTTGAGAAAAAAAGAATTGAAAAAAATTACATTTCGCTTTCGTGTGTTGTTGTTTGAAAGTGTGGGGAGGAAAAAGTGTACGAAAAACTCAATCTGTTTGTAACTCTAGAAACTTGTCGACGTTTTGTAAAACACAATTTCAATTATTGCAAGAAGCTTTCTACATTTATGCTTTATCTGTTTATTTTGCATAGGTTTTTAATTTTTCTTCTTCATACGCATACAAAATAATATTGACTCAGTTCAAGCAATGACAAAAAAAATATTTTTCAATTCACATTTTTCCATTTTTTTTTCTTTCCATTAACTTGTTGATGTAAAAAAAAGGAATTCTTGAATCTACTGCAGAATTGCTTTTTCTTGACTTTCTTCTTTTTGCTTCGTGTACTTGCGTAAATGCGTTCGAAATTAAATGATTGAAATTGTTTTTGCTGATGATGTTTCTGGGATTAGAAAAGAAAAAAGCCGGAGTTTTTACGCTTCGTTCTTCTGTGTTGAATGTGTGTCCTTCTTGGCGTTCCTTCTATGCACTAGGCATCGTTGAATGCGAATTGTTGTTAATGAATTGAAAGTTAAGAGGAAAACTGAAAGGTTCGAAAGAAAAACGGAATTAGTTGGGGTGTCATTTTCTAACGTATATTATTTATACATACTTTTTGGGTGTCGAGTGTTCTTGTAAAATTTTCTTCCGCTTTAGCTGTTTTCGAGCTTAGTTAGCGGGCTCAGAGACGCGGTGCACCTGGAGCACGGCCACAGCCTCCTCCACCTTGGCCTTGAGGGCCTCCTGATCCTCAATCATGTGCAGCAGTTCGGAGTTCTCGATCTCCAGCAACATGCCGGTGATCTTGCCAGCCAGAGCGGCGTGCATGCGCTCAATCATCGGGTACAGACGCTCGCCGAGGATCTGTTTCTGCTCCTGCGGCTTGGCGTTGGCCAGCAGCGAGGCGATGAGCTTCTCGGAGTCTGGAGGGGAATAATGATACTTATTAGTAAACTGACCAACACATTTCGGTCCCTTAAACTTACTCTTTCCTTGCAACTGCTGCGGGATGGGCTGGGTCTGCTGCAACTGCTGCACTGGGGGATTGCGCATGTTGGAGGTGTACTTGTAGTTGGAGGCGCGCTGCTGGGCACCGCCAGCAATCTGGGCTCCGGGTATCTGCATGTTCGGGGCAGCAGTCTGCTGACCGGTGATGGCGCGAGCTCCGGTGTTGCGCATGTTGTTGGCCGCAGCGGCAGAGGCGTGAGCGCCCTGCACGGGCTGGGGCTGGGCACCGCGTGCTCCGGCAGCAGCCGAGCGGAACTGGGTGGGCACTGCTCCGGCTGTGCCCTGGAAGCCACCAGCTGCGGCGGCAGCTCCGGCCTGAACGCTCTGGACCGTGGCGGCGGGACGCACTTGTGGCGCCCAGCGCGGTGTGTTTCTCATCTGGGTTGCCACCTGGGGACCGAAGAACCGCTGGCTTGGCGGTAAGGTCGGCACAAAGAAGCCGCCGCCCGTGTTGGGCTGGAAGATCTGTCCCAGCTGCTGCATGCGCATGCCGGTCATGTGACGCATGTACTGCGAGGCGAGGTGAGCCTTGCGCTCCTCCTTCCTCTGGGCCAAAGCCACGTACAGGGGCTTGCTGCCGACGACGCGGCCGTTCAACTCGGTGACGGCGCAAGTGGCCTCGTTGGGCGAAATGAAGCACACGAAACCGAAGCCCTTGGAGCGACCCTCCTCATCGGTCATAACCTTGGCCGATGTGATGGTGCCGTACAGGGAGAACTCCTTGCGCAGGCGCTCGTCATCGATGGTGTCATCGAGGTTCTTCACGTACAAGTTGACGCCGAACACGGACTCGTGACGCTTCTTCTTGAGCTCCTCGAACTTGCGCTTCAGCTCCTGTTGGCGCTCGGCCTTCTTCTGGGCACGGGCCACGTACAGGGACTTGCCCTCGCCCATATCCTTGCCATTGAGGGCCTGGACGGCCGCCTCGGCAGCCTCTGTGGTCTCAAAGGCCACGAATCCGAAGCCCTTGCTCTTGCCGTCCTCCTTGGACATAACCTAAAGACGAATACCAGGTCAAAAGTGCCCTAAAATAAGCGAAAAACTAAATGAAATTACCTTGTAGCTGGTGATCTTGCCGTATGGCTCAAAGAACTCCTTCAGCTTCTCGTCGTCAAACTCCTCGGTGAAGTTCTTGACGTACACGTTGGTGAAGAGCTTGGCCTTCTCGCCCAGCTCCTTCTCGCGCTCCTTGCGGGGAATGAATTTGCCCACGTAGACCTTCTTGCCGTTGAGCAACATGCCGTTGACCTTGTCGATGGACGTGTTGGCGGCCTCCTCGGTCTCGAAGTGAACGAAGCCATAGCCCTTGGAGTTGCCCTTCTCATCGGTGGCCACCTTGCAGCTGAGGATGTTTCCGAAGGCGGAGAAAGTGTCGTAGATTGCCTTGTTGTCGATGGCCTTGTCGAGGTTCTTGATGAACACATTACCAACGCCGGAGCGGCGAAGTGAGGGATCGCGCTGGGACCACATAATGCGAATGGGCTTGTTGCGGACCAGGTCGAAGTTCATGGTGTCCAAAGCACGCTCAGCTGAGGGTGAAATAGGGGAAAAGTTATGATTACCAAGGGTTCCCTTTTGGTTACAAATATAAAGTGGAAGATCATTTAATGACATTGTGACTCTTCTACTTCTGCACTGGCCAAAAAGCAGCCTTAGTGCATGGTAAGTCAAGTCTGGTCTTTCATTTGGCAACTATTAATCTTAGTCGTGTCAAAAAAGGAGTAATCTGACCAACCAATGGGTAGAAGTTGCTAAATTTTTAGAGTCTCATCATATTTAAGGGTTATCAAGCTTCTGTTTCTGCGGATGATAAACAGAACCCATCTGCATGGTAAGTAGCTTTGCTCTCTATGGCAACTTAAGATTTCAGTCGTATCGAAAAGGGTTAAATCAAAGCTACCAATGGTTAAAAGCTGCTAGGAATGTCTACATCTAAGATGGTGGTCTATTAAACTTATAATTCTGCGAATTCTCTGAGGATTTTAAATTTAGTAATTGTCATGCTTCTACTTCTGCAGATGGTATGCGTTACCCATCTACATGGTAAGTTGCATTAGTTGTTATAGCAACAATGAATCTTAGTCGTGTCAAAATGAGAGTATTTGACCAACCAATGGGTAGAAGTTGCTAAGAGTCTAGATCAAAGGTCCACGCTAATATTTCCGAATCTCTTTTTCCTTAAATAGTACCACATGATACGAATGGAATCGGGGACTGTCATGCTTCTACTTCTGCAGATGGTATGCGTTACCCATCAGCATGGTAAGTTGCATATGTTTCTATAGCAACAATGAATCTTAGTCGTATCAAAATGAGAGTATTTGACCAACCAATGTGTAGAAGTTGCTAATTGAGGTCTAGATCAAAGATCAAAGCCTATTACATCGGTTGAAAAGTAAAAAATTTATGGTTGTAATGCTTCTACTTCTGCAGATGGTATGCGAAACCCATCTACATGGTAAGTTGCATAAGTTGTTATAGCAACAATGAATCTTAGTCGTGTCAAAAAGGGAATATTTGACCAACCAATGGGTAGAAGTTGCTGATAAGCCTTAATTTTTGATTATAAAACATCTTATAATGGATTGTAATGCTTCTACTTCTGCTGATGATATGTGGAAACCATCAGCATGGTAAGTCGCATTTGTTTTTTCTGGCAACATTGAATCTTAGTCGTGTCAAAAAGGGATAAATCTGACCAACCAATGGGTAGGAGTTGCGAGAAGGGTCTGTTAGTAAAAAAAAGTAAAATAAAAACCGAAATTCGGCAATAATTTGTAGGTATCTCAACTCATAAAATGACTTAAACAGCAGTTTCTAAAAATGCTGGTAGCTTCGCCCTAACCTCAAAAACTAGAGTTCAGTAAACTTGGCGGAATGCTGGAATGCGACGGGCTTTCACACGCAGCGTAATCACCATCGGTCGCAGCTTTGTGCCATTGTACGCTTAATTCAATAAACAAATGTAAGCGAACAACGGGAAACGAAGAAGCAGCAGCAGCAACTATGTGTGCGCAGTGAAAGTTTGTTTTCGTTTTTGTAAAAAACACGACTTTAATGGGCGAAAGAGAGGCCGAAGAGCGGTTCACTGACATGTCAAGAATTTGGAAGTGTTAAGTTAATCAATGGAATGTGGAGAGCGGGGAGGACTACAACTGTGAAAGTGAAAGCAAAACAAAGAGGCAAAGTAGGAGACGATAAAAAGCGGGCGTGCGGAAATTTACTTAATGGAATATAACCTAAAATAGCTGAAGGCCAAGAGAAAGAAATGGTCCAAACAACAATGAACACATGTTTATGGAAGCGACGCACACAAATGTGCGCGTGCGATTGCAAGTGTGAGTGTGCGCAAGTTGGCCGCTTGGAAACAGCAGACAACACTCGAATAAAACCAGAACAGGCGACGAAACATTGAAACAACTTATGGGCGGGGCTGCGATAAGCTGTCTGGGCAGTATGGAGCCCCTATTATTCCATCATAATTGCAATTTTGTGCGAAATCGAGGCGGAAACTTCTAGGCGAACGGTTGATGAGTGGCACAAGCCAGCTGTTTGGCCCTCTCGTTTCCACCCGTTTCCTTCCACAGTAACTGGAAATGATATATGCGCGTGTGTGTGTGAGATTAACGTAAGCAGCGCACGGTGGAGCGAGTTATGAAATACTCGCTTATGAGACTCATCTTTCCACCAGTCCAGTTTTGATGGCCGCTTTTTCCCCCGTCCCACTGTACGCGGGCATGTGCCTGTGTGTGAGTGCAAAAACTGCACACGTGTTTTCTTTGTTTCGCGCGGGAGGGGCTCCCCTGGGGAATTACACTACTATTACAAGGATTACTCACCATCGGCTGGCTGCTGGAAGTTGACGTAGGCATAGCCCAACGAGCGACGGGTAATCACATCGCGGCAGACACGAATGGACAGGACTGGACCAGCAGTCGAGAACTTCTCAAAGAGTCCCGCTTCGGTGACGTCCTGCTGGAGATCACCGACGTATAGAGAAGCCATATTTGGTGGTGATCAGGTCTACCTGCAATGGGCGGCAATTAGTGGGGGCTTTTTCACTCGAAAATCCGGGTTTCCTCGGATCTCCACGGACCGGATGGATTCGGCCAGGCAGGCGGTGAAATAGAAAGAAAAAAAGCGGCGTGGCTTTTGCTCTCCTATTCGTCTCTGTGTCGGGTGGCAACTCCGGCGTGTGACAGACGGGGGACCTGGCAACGCCGCATGTGCTTTGTTGTTGCCCGTTCGCGCTCCCTCTCTGCCACTCTCCGCCTCTTCGTGTAGGAAAATTTCCACACATACACACAGACACAGAGATAGACACGCGTTCTGCCTGCCCAAAATTATGCGATTTTGGGGATTTCCGCGAAAATATGCGATTGCTGGGCAATGGCCCGCCGTTCAGCGGATAAGTTGGCGCTCCTAGGCGCCATCTTTGAACGACGGGCAGCCGAAACGAGGCGAGTTTCGCTGGGAAAAATTTCCCCATTCGCTTTGTCTCGCGTCGCGCCCTCTCGCTCGCTCCGCTGGCAGCCCAAGCACTCTCACTCTACTTACTTTTCAAACACTTGCTCGAATTTTTTGCTACTTTTTACAATTTTTTTTGTTACGTTTTTGTGTTTTTAATATTTTTTTTTATTTTTTATATATTTTTTCTTCACAAAAAATATGTGATAAGCCGTGTGCTGAAAGCGAATCCACGACCGCTCACGTAAACGGACTCAACACGACTCGGGTCCCTATCGATGTTTTCCGATTTGCAAAACATCGGCATCTTTAAAAATCCTAAAATCCCATCTCTAAATTGGCAGTTTTCTAACAGAAATGTTAAGATGCACATTTGCATTTGCAGAGCAGTGACTGCGCTGTCGGCCCTCTTAACATTTATGTTAACGAGACATCTTTCTGGCAACTCTCTGAAATGTTTTATCCCTGTTAGTTTTTAAATAATAGCGAGGACACTTTTTAACAGAAATTTTAAGACTAATATTAAAGTGCGTGACATCTTTAAAAGACAATGAGACATCTTTAAAATGTTTAGGTTGGATGCAATAATAACTGCAAATAGACCTTCAAAATTCATTTTAAAATTAATAATGACATGGCTTCCTAAATATCCCGCTCGTAGAGAAGGGCGCACGCAATTGGAACGATGTTTTCCTTGTTTTGGAGACATTTCGGCTCATCTCTAAAATAATTATCCAATTATTTTTTGGCACATCTCTAGAATGTGGCAACTCTCTAAAATGTCTTGGCAGAAATGTTAACATAACGATGTATAGTAACATTTCTGTTAACGAGAGAAAGCGACTCTTAGTGGTGGGAGGGAAAACATCGGAATTCCGAACATCTCTTACATCAGCGAGAACACCGTTTAACAGATATGTTAAATTTAATTAAATTAAATAATAATTTCGTTACTTCCGTGAAGAGGGATGAATAATTTTGAATTAAATAGTTTGTCCTCACTAACGTTAAAAAATGTATCCTAACATTTCTGTTATCTAGAGCGCTTCCTAGAGGTTGGCATCTACTTTGGAGACATCGGTGTTTGCGGCTCATATCTTGATGTTTCTGGCAACTCTCTAAAAAGTTGGAGCCCTGAACGGTTTTAAATTTAGCAGGGACACACTTTAAATGTCAAAGTAACATTTTAATTAAAATCAATTAAATAATTAAGATTGATTTTTTATAAAATAAACAGACACCTCTTGTTTTCAAAGATTCGACAACTTATCAATGCACTTAAATATCCCAAATAATTTTCAAATACACTGACACTTTAAATTAAACCAAAATATTTGAGCGCAAAAAACGTAAAAAAAACCGATTAAAGTAATTGCAATTGATTTAAAATGTACTGTACATGTTTTGCTGACTCCTAGCTAGTTATCATACTTAATTAACGAATTTAAAATATTTTACTCTAATTGTAATCCTGAGACATATAGGCAACCCTAATGGCTTGACTTTTGAAAAAATTAATTCGGCACAAAAAAAGTTTCCTTTAAATGTCCACCAATTGTTTTTTTGCTTCACAGAGTCCCACCGCAATAATAACTCTGGGATTCCCTCTTTTCAAACTTACCTAACTCAGCGAAAAAAGTGATGAGCCTGCAATCCAAGACTGAGACTCCAAGAAGATCCGCGTAAATTTTTTCCTTGAACCGGCACTCAAGAACTTTTTTTATGCTTTTCGAGGTTTTCTACGAAATAAACAACACTCAAAGAGAACCGTCAGTGACCGAGTGTAATTAAACTATTTTTTTGTTTTATGGCAATAAACCAATTTTTCTTATTTTTTTTCTGTTCCTGCTTCAGACAGCTGCATGCGTCCTATGTGGCATTCGAGTACCTAATGAAGCGGGGAGGCAAAACTCGGGGCCTGACAAGCTTCAAACTCCAAATGTCACTTTTTCCGCCTACTTGGATGATCCGACAAAAATCACAGAAACGGGCACTTTCGAAACATTTATTTGGGCATTATATACTTCATTAAACACATATTTCGGTCTGGTTTAGCTTGAGATTTAATTTTGCGTTCAACTCAATTTTGATTTTCGTATAGCTTTTAATAGTTAAAAAGTACTTGCTTAACTCATTATTGTGTGGTTTTCCCTAGATTATGGGCGAAAATTATTCAACTAGTCCTACATTTTATTAAATTTGTGTTGTGTAATGTATATCAATCATTTTTTGTATGCATAACATGGTTTTTGTGTGAGAGTTTCCCTTTTAATATATATTTTTCAAAAATATACATGGGCATATTACATGTAGCTAAAGTACGAACTTAACTGAATCGTTTTCCTTTCGATAGACATTAATTAATACGTTTTCATTCAGCAGCGAATGTCAGATTACAGATTAATCTTGTAATACTTTTGCCAATTTTGTGGAAATTTTCTTAAGTTTTGCTGCAACAATTTACTGCCATTGCACAATTATAACCTGTATTCAGTTGCTTTTTGCAATTTTTTACATTTTAACACTTTAACCGCTTTAGTGCTGAACCAATATTTTGAACATTCTTTTGCTATTTTGGCAGTGGATTGGTAATAAACTTTTAAACGTTAACAAATAAGGAGGCCCGGAGCTGGCAGCGAACATTAATAAAGAATAACGCAGGAGAATTATAATGAAAAATGATAAACATAAAAGTAAAAATGAGTTGTCGGGTGTGCCAAAAGAGTCTAGTTTCCCATCGATCCGATCGCAGCATCTCCTCCCCACTCCACGAGGTACTGGACCTGTCCGTTTCCCATGCGCCGTTTGGCCCGAATGGCGAAGGACTCGCCGGCATCTATGCGATTCATGGCGCCGCCAAAGTACTTGTTCACCGACTGCTTCAGATCGAGCATGGAATGTTGTCCCGGTGCCGCCAGCCCGTTGCTGCTGCTGCTGTTCGTGGCCGTCGAACTGGTGGAGTTCCGGCGGCTCTGGCTGGGCGACAGCTTCTGAGGCCGCTGGCGCAACAGGCGTCCGTGCGTTGGCTTTCCCATTGGCGGCGCCGCCGGCGGCTGCAGATCTTTGGCATAGAGAGGAAGGTAGTGGCTGGGTATGGGATTAATGGTGGTGGTGCTGATGACCTATTAGTTGATAGAAAAACGTATTAGGAACTGTTATTTAATTCAAGTTTAAGCTCCTACCTCAATGGCCGTGGTCAGGCGGCGGTTGCGTCGCCTGCGCACCTCCTGATTGGGCCCAATGGTTATGTCTTTGGCACTCAGTCTTCGCTTGATGGTGCGCACCATGCGCGGCTGCTCCTTGGAGTTGCCCTTGAGCTTGAAAATGCTGTTGATGATGCCATTTGCCACGATGCCACCTCGGCCACCCTGCGTCGCCTTCTTGGGGGTGGCCATCAAGAAGGGATTGTTGCGTCCCAGAAAATTGGCCGGCGGCGGTATGATGAGGTCCAGCGAGCTGGTTCCCCGACTGCTGCTCGAGTTCTCGTCGGACGATAGATCACAGTGGTTGCGGCTGTTGTCATAGCGCTTGGACAGGCGGAAAGCCTTGCGTTTGCGACTGCTGTTGGCGTCCAGCAGCGGAGGAATGGGAGCTGCTGGCAGCTTGCCGGGATCGCCGTCGTTGGCATTGTCGTCGGCGAGGTCGAGAGCGACTGCCTCAACATGTTCCGACTGCTTGGGCAGCTCATCCTGCTCATCCGCCTTCTGGCTGGCCTGCTTTTTGGCCTTCTCGATGATCTGCTTGATGGGAATCTCGTCCTCGCTCGTCTCCACTGGCTCATCTTCATCCGTATTGAACTCGTACACATCTTTGGGTACTCTTTTCGGGGGTTCCTGCCTCGGCAGCAGAGTCAGTTTGAACTTCTTGACCAGCAGTTCATCGGAAAGTTCCTCGTGGGGCTCTAGGAATACCTTGGGCGTAAGTGGCGGCCCGCTGTGGCGAAGCGCATAGAAGGCTGGCGCTCTTTTGAACTCCCTGCCGCAGACGAAGCGCTCCGCCTTCAGCGTCTGCTTGATGCGCTCCATGAGTGCCGTCTCCGGCAGCGAGCGCCATTGCTCGCAGATGGGAAGCTGGTGGCGCTGCTCGAGTATGAAGGGCCAAATGTCCTTCAGCAGGTGATGGTACTTCTGGTGCTGGTGCTTGCGCAGATTGTACAGGGCAATGTGCAGCACGTCTACCCAGTCGATCTGCAGACGTCGCACAAACTCCACGCCATTGTTGCACACAGTGCAGCAGAATACAAAGAACCTGGGGGGATTCGTTTAATTAGTATTTAGAATACCTAAAAGGCAAGTCCCGACTTACATGTCGCCGCGCAGCAGCTTCCTCTTGAAGTTCTGCATGCATTGGGTGTGGAACCAGTTGCGGCACTTGCAGCACTGCAGCATATTGTGATCGAATTTGCCCGGCTTGCCGCAGTAGCAATAAATCTGCTCCTCGTTCACCCGATGCTTCTCATCCCAGCTGAGCTTATCCGCCTGTGTGAGGGAAAAACCATCGGATTAGCAACCTAATCTTAGGCTTAGGTACGCAGCATAGATACTCACATGGTAGGGTAATTGACGGCAAATCCCCGCAGGCTTGCTGATCTCATGGTTAACCGGCTGTTGCATTTTCATGGGTTTCGCACACCGTTTGCAGCTCCAAATTCCGCTGCCGGTGACGATTTCGATGGTACAGCCACGATGATAGCCGCGTCCGCAGCGCTCGCAGATTTCCACCACATCCTCGACATCCGACCGCTTGCAGGCCACGCACATGGGTCCGCTGGTGGAGGCACTGGACGTATCCGAGCTGGACCCACCTCCGCCGCCAGTGGATGGGCTGCCCCCCAACTTGCGCAGTTTGTCCGGCTCACACCATTGCTCCGACTGATCATCGAAGCGGATGAGAAACTGGTCGCTTGTTTGCTCAATAATAGTGCCCAGGTAGAACCTGCCGTCGTTGCATTTGATAAAGACATCCTCCTGCAGGGCATAGGTGACCACCACCGGCGGCGGAGGAGGAGGAGCAGCCACTGGTGGCGGAGGAGGAGATGGTGGAGTTAACGGCGTGTGCGGCTGTGCTGCTTCGACGGCCTTGAAGCTCGGCTTCATTTGGCTGACGGCCTTGAGCAGCAGCGGAGGCGAGGGCGACAGCTCGCTCTTCCCCGGCGAACTCATCAAAGTCTCCGGCGTTGTGGGCGGCGTCTGGGGCGTTGTGGTCGTCGAATCCGGCTCATCCACTATGACCACAGCCGCCGAGGTGGTGGTGGCTCCACCATAGCTGCTGCTGGACACCGAACTGCTGCTGCAGCTGCTGCTGTCCGCCGTGCTGCTGTCGATGAGGGGCAGGATGGCCTTGTGCTGGATGGCCGGTATGATGGGAGACGGCTGCTGGGCGCTGCTCAGCGATGAGCTGAGCGAGGAGGGCGACTCCGCGTAGTGGTTGTTGATGCAAATGTTGATGCGGTCCAGCACCACAGTGGATGGGGGTGACGAGGTGGAGTTGCTCACGGGCACAAGTGGAGGAGGTTGCAGTTGCTTAGCCGCCGCTGCCATAAGGTTGAGTTGCCCCGCCGTTTGGCCACCGCCGCTGGGCAAATAATAAGACTGAACGGGCGCGTAAATAGAGTGCGGTTCCTGCGGCGACTTGTTCTGCAAACTATAAGCACTCGGCGTCGTCGAGATGATCCTGATGTTGTTGGCCTTGAAGGGACTGGAGCTGCTGGCCGCCTGTTGCTTCGTCGGCGTGGCCTGCTGGGCGAAGCTGTTGGTGATCTGGATGGTGCTGGGATGTGCGGGATGGGTGGCCTGTGGCGCTGCTCCTCCGGCGTAGAAACGCTTGGCCACCGTGGCAGCAGGTCCTGCGGTGGGCGGCAGGATCTGGTAGGTGGTGGTCATCCACTGCGGCTGCTGACCAGCCTGCGGCAAGTAGCCGTATGTGGTGCTGGTCGCGGGAGGAGGAGCTCCGGGGGCCACGGCGGCCGTCGGCTGTTGCAGGAACGGAACGTGTGCCACGTTCTGCGGCGGATGGTCGTGTTGCAAGTGGTAATGGTTGTTCATCATTGCGGCTGTGTGGGTGGTTTGGCTGGTGGTGATGGTGCTTGATGCGCAGCAGTCTTTTCTGCAAAAAATAGGAACCTTTAGTTTGCCGGCTTTTGGTGATTGCTTTTTAATGGGTCTCTCGCCGATTAACACGAGCTCATTAATCTGGCGCCTTTTTCGTCGAATTTTTTGTTGCCCCGCCGACACATACATGCACACAAGGGGCTACACGTACGGGCTGGAGAGCGGGCCCTTTTGTATTCTGTGTGCCTTCCACATTCGTACTTTTCCACACGCACCAGTCTCCTAGTTGGGGAGCCGATTTACCCACCTTTCTGTGTGCCTCGATTCGCGCATTAAATTAGCATTGTGCTCTAATTAATTCGGCTGTCGGCTTTAGTCGTCGTTGGGCCAAGTTCATCCCTAACACCAGCGAAAATGCACAAAACAAATCACTTGAAAATTAATTTGTGTCAGCCATTTTTCAACATATGCCCACTGTGTGACCGCTCGGCGGTAGTGCTGGAAAATACTAGAAGAGGCCAAAAATACTGGCTAGGCAGGGGACCATTAATATTATATTTCAGGGAAATTTTAACTAGGAACTTATTTGTTTTTATTTATTAATAGTTCATTTAAATTAAACTAGTTAAATTAGATACAATATAACATAATTACCTCTTAACCAGAGAATAAAAAATGGGTATAATATAGATTTTAAAAAATATAAAATGTCAAAAAAAAACGAATACATTTTCTTTTGAAATAATAATTCAGAGATTTATATGATTTTTAAATACAAATACATGTGCTTAAATAAGTGGTTGAATTGTAATATCGCTTATTATAAATTTAAATTAAAGTTCAAAAACAACCAAGTTAAAAATACCAAAAACCAAAAACACTACCTGCTCAAAATACCACCCTAGTATTCCCAGCACTTGCCTATCACAGATAGCAGTGAGTAGTCGCAACAGTAGTGCAATAACTATAAAGCCTATCATTTAAATCCCAGCTTCAGTAATCAACTATTTTATTTAATTATCCTAATGATCATTACAGGAATCGGGGTCAACATTTGAATAACGAAGCTGCGCGCCAGAAAATACTAGAAAAATACCAGAGGAGACAAGCAGACAGCGAAAAGGGTATAAATAGCAGCAAACTTTAGTTCGATGGGTTTTTTCCAAACTGGTCACGCTACGAACAAAAGCAAAAGCAATTCGGAGATTTCATTAAATTTTCACTTGTGAATAAAACGCGGAAAAACACTTGGAAAACAGAAGAACAGAGCTTAAAAAAGCGGTACACAGCGAAAGTGAAGTGCGAAACGCAAACTAAACGTGTTAACAGCGAGTTTTCTACGCCGCGAACGCCGAGAGAGCTGTAAAATTGTTAAGGTAGGTAGGCGGAGCAGGAGAAGAAGAACTAGAGCTCCATTTGTGCAAGTTGGTGGCTCGAATGACGCACTTGGCTGTAATTGAAAATATCCGATTGCGTTGGAGCTGCAACTTTCACATCAGAAAATGTACCCATATGTACATTTTACATATATGTATTTTGTACCTGGACACGCACACACTGCCCCCCGCACACACACTCACACACACGCACGGAAAAATGAACTGTGAACTGGAAGGGGGGCCAGTGTATGGGTGAGCTGTGAATTCATTGACTACTCCTTTCCAGGCTGCGCTGGTCACTATATGTCCAGGCCGCGTTCATCCGCCAAAGCCGTGCAGTTCAAGCACGAATCGGAGGAAGAGGAGGACGACGAGGAGGAGCAGCTGCCTTCCAGGAGGATGCACTCGTTCGGGGACGCGGGCGCCATCGGGAGCGGGGTGCCGGCCTTCTTGGCCAAACTGTGGCGCCTCGTCGACGACGCCGATACCAATCGCTTGATCTGCTGGACCAAGGTAATCCTATGCCGCCATATTGTTTATTTACCTTTCCAGGGACTCCCCCTCCCCCTCCCACCACTTACCGCTAATCAGCATGGCAACAATGACGTGCAGGTGTCTCAAGCTCAAGCTCTCTTTCTCGCCTTTTCTCTCTATGCCTCTCTGTTTTGTTGTTGCTGTGCCGCAACGCACGTATGCAAGCCCTTGCTGTTGTTGTTGTTGTTGTTTTTATGCCATTTGCATGCGTACGTGCGTGAACTCTGGAAAATTTTCCATCTCCCATCTGTCAATCGAAAAATTTCCCCTGGTCATTCATTCGGTTTTCCATTTAAGATAAGAGTATTTGGTTCTCACTTTTGGTTTCCACACACTCTTAGTGAAGAGTGTGCTTATCACTATAGCGTTTTTATACCTTTTACAATCAAAATCATACAGATGAGAGCAAATTAATAGCAGTATTGGAAAGAAAACAATTTAAAGAGCTTAAAAACCTTAGATTGGAACACATTACTAACATATGAAATACTATTATCACTAAATTCGTATACCAAAAAAAAATTGTTTTTTTTTGTAGTTTCAACTTTTCTTAAACTAATTGACCGTTGTAATGAGCATTACTATTACTTTGAACACCGCTGTAATTTCGCCTTTTGCCTCTATAGATATAATTATAATTAGCTAATTATATTCGGTGCTACAAACATATACGCAATCGCTTATCGTTTTCGGTTTGCGGCCTACCGCGAATAGGTTTGTGGCAACCTCATATCAGCATGACTCTCATATCGCTTCCGTTTTTCGTTTCATTACAGGATGGCCAAAGTTTTGTTATACAAAATCAGGCGCAATTCGCCAAGGAATTGCTGCCCCTGAACTACAAGCACAACAACATGGCCAGCTTCATCAGACAACTGAATATGTGTAAGTAAAGTGCATACAAAATTCTTAATTAAATTTAATTGAAATTATTTAATCTCCAGATGGTTTCCACAAGATCACCTCCATTGACAACGGAGGCCTGCGCTTCGATCGCGACGAGATTGAGTTCTCACATCCCTTCTTCAAGCGCAACTCCCCGTATTTACTGGACCAAATCAAAAGGAAGATATCGAATAACAAAAACGGGGACGACAAGAGTGTGCTGAAGCAGGAGGCCGTGTCGAAGATCCTCAGCGATGTGAAGGTGATGCGCGGACGCCAGGACAACCTGGACTCGCGTTTCTCCGCCATGAAGCAGGAAAACGAGGTGCTGTGGCGCGAGATAGCCAGCCTGCGTCAGAAGCACGCCAAGCAGCAGCAGATAGTCAACAAACTGATCCAGTTCCTAATCTCCATCGTGCAACCGTCGCGCAACATGTCCGGCGTCAAGCGCCACATGCAGCTGATGATCAACGACACGCCGGAGAACGATCGTGCTCGCAGCACCAGCGAGACGGAGAGCGAGGGCGGCGGCGGCCCGGTCATCCACGAGCTCAGCGAGGAGCTGCTCGACGAGGTGATGAATCCTTCGCCGACTAACTACGCTGCAGCTTCGCAGTACGACCAGGAGAGCGTCTCCCCGCTGGCCGTCGAGCGGCCGCGTTCGAATATAAGCATTAGCTCGCACAACGTCGACTATTCGAATCAGAGCGTCGAGGACTTGCTGCTCCAGGGCAATGGAACTGCTGGCGGTAATCTTCTGGTCGGAGGAGCAGCCTCTCCGCTCGCCTCCAGTGTGAGCAGTCAGTCGCCGGCCCAGCAAGTTGTCTACACGGTCACCGAGGCCCCCGACTCGCATGTCCAGGAGGTGCCCAACAGTCCGCCGTATCACGAAGAGCAGAACGTCCTCACCACGCCCATGGTGCGGGAGCAGGAGCAGAAGCGTCAGCAGCTCAAGGAGCAGAACAAGCTGCGACGACGCGCAGGAGAAGTAACCATCGATGCCGCCCCAATTCTGGTGGAAGAGGGCGGTCCTAAGGTGCAGCGCAAGAGCAACCAGGGAATGGTTCAGCCAATGATTATCAAGGCCGAGCCGGAGAACAACTCTGGAATAATGGAGCTTATAAATCCCTCAAACTCTGATCTGTACAATGTAAACTTTATCAGTGAAGATATGCCTACGGATATATTCGAAGTGAGTGGCTTTAAGTCTCACTCTTAAGTGATTGCTAATTGTTTTTAATCTACAGGACTCTTCTTTGCTGCCTGCTGGCGTGGAGGAGGCAGCCAAGCTGGATCAGCAGCAGAAATTCGGGCAATCTACAGTGAGCAGCGGCAAGTTTGCCAGCAATTTCGATGTGCCCACCAATAGTTCTTTGTTGGATGCAAATCAGGCCTCGACATCGAAGGCTGCAGCCAAGGCACAGGCCAATGAGGAGGAGGCGGCGGCCTTGGCTGTGGCCAAGTACACGGGCAGCGAGAACGGAGCTACGCGAGATCTCAACAACGGTCAGCTCCTCAGGATCCCCTCAGTGTTAGTAGACAAGAAGATTTCCCATACCAGCCAGAACAGCCATAATCAAGAGGCAAATTCTTACTGTTGCAGTGACGATCTCCATGGGCACTTGGACAACATGCAAGATGAGCTGGAAACTCTGAAGGATCTGTTGCGTGGCGACGGGGTGGCCATTGATCAAAACATGCTTCTGGGTGTAAGTATCCATAGTTACTATCCTTAGTTGTTTTCTGGATTAGCTGTCCGTGTGTCCGACTTAAGGCTCACTTTACAAACGTTCTATTTACATGATCAGGCGCCTGGCAGGACGCCCATTTTTCAGTTGACCGAGGACGAGCTGCTTCTAAAGGTCAGCGCAAAGCGTCCGCACATGCTAGGCTTCTATGTTTAAAAGTTACCTAACTAGAAAACTAACCATGTTCTCTTTTATGTATGCTTTACAGCTCTTTAATGACTCGGATCTGATGGACAACTACGGCTTATCTTTTCCCAATGACAGCCTAAGCAGTGAAAAGAAGGGTGAGTTTGGAAAAGACTCTTAATCCTCTGTTCGCAATTAACATATTTGATCTGCTTCTAAACAGCACCCAGTGGCTCAGAACTGATTTCCTATCAGCCCATGTACGATCTGTCCGACATTCTGGACACGGACGATGGCAACAAGGATCAGGAGGCCAACAGACGCCAGCAGCTGCAGACGCAGAACTCGGTGTTGAATACGCCACGTCACGAGTTGTAACTTATATTAAGTAGTAGCAGCGAACAATTTGTTTCTAGCTTTTAATTGAATCAATCTTTTACGTGTTAATTTTCTTCACTTACTCTGTCTAACCTTTTAGTTGATTCATACCTATAATCATGCTACTTTTAATCACCGTAATCATATTAATGATGCTGTATATGCCTTATGCACTATATATATGATATATAGACTAACCAGTTCTTGTTGTAGAAAGACTCGAAGAATCAGTTAATATTTAGATGTATTTTGTATCCGGGGATTTTGAGGGCCTCGGCTCAGGTAGAAGATTTTTAGTTTGCACTAACCGATCGAGAGGGATGAACGCTGCTCGATCGCTGATCTAGACGATTTAAGATCGCACTTTTATTAATCGATAATAAATTGTTTTAAGCTGCCTTGAGCTGCAAATGAACTGTACTGTTTTTCTTTTCCACGGAATAGGGAAACACCAATTGCTACCTTGTTTTGTGCATAATTTATTTCGGATCATTGTTGATACAACTGAATAGATATGGACTTCTATCGCCTCATCTTAATACAAATTAACTTATACCCTTAGCCTAAGACGGGAACGCAGAGATACAAAATAATTGTAAGTTTAATAATACATAAATGAGTGTGTTGTAAGTGCGTTGTTTACCACTAAGGTGACTAATCGAGAGTTGTACGTATAGAATAGCGACGCCCTAGCACTCGTCCTTGTACTTTGCGTCCTTCAGAATGCTGGCGAACTCGAACTTGACCCGTTCCCGCTCCGACCGGGGCATGCTGCGCAGTGTGTCCACCAGCGAGAGGCAGTAGAGCTCGATGGGATCGCTGTAGGGCGTCGTCACTTGGGTCTGCAGCGGCGTTTCGGTGGCCTTGCGCTTGAAGGGATTGGTCAGGAAGTCGCTGGGTAACGTGCGTCTGGTGGCCGCCGGCTTGTAAATGGGTTCGATGGTCACCTCTCCATTCGACAGCGAGCTGTTCTTGATCTGCTTCTGCTCCTGCTGGGATGGCGGCTGCTGGTGCGCCTGGTGCACCTCCTGCTGGTCGTAGCCATTGCCCATGACCACCATGGGCGTGAGCAGGGGCGAGGAGGCCGGCGAGCTGACATGGTCGTGCTCGTGGCTGTGATTGCTGCTACTGGTGCCGTTGAGGGTCGTCTGCAGGGATAGTTCCGTCTTGGGCTCCTCCATGACCAGCTGCAGCTCGGGCACAATCTCGTTGTCGTCGCTATTCGAGCCATCCTCGCTGTTGTCCAGCTCGATGATGTCGTAGCCCTCGGAGGCGTCGATCTTCAGGTGCTCCGGATCGGGATAGAGGAAGCTATTGCTGTCGTTGTCACTACCCGCCCCGTTTTGGGGCGCCACATAGCTCTGGGATTTCTTGACATTATACGTTTGGGCCGTGTTCTGCAGGAAGGAGAGATCCTCGGTGAAGCGCCGCTTGCGCACATTCGGATTCGCCTGTCCCGTCTCAATGGCCTTCACCTCCTGCAGATAGTTGTAGCGTATGTTCTTCCATTTGGTCTGCAGGAATCGAGCTGTGGTGAAAAAGAGGGTGGTTTTGCTGAGACAATCTACGCAGTTTGCCAAACAAATACTCACAGGAGGCGCCCAGTTCGTTGGCGATGCGATCCCATATGTCCACTCGCACCGGATTGCGGCGATAATGCGGATGGCTGACATCGTAGATGGCCGGATTGGCGCGCACCAGCTTTATCAGGCGATCGTCTGCAGGCAATAGGATTTGTGGGAAAAATCGTTAAAATCTGCTTCGCTTTCTACGTTTCTTCGCAGCACAGTAGAAAACAGCAACCCCTAAGCACAGAAGACACATCCTTCGCTTTGGGGGTTGATTCTGCGAGCCCCGGTGGCTGTCGCTCAGATTCTGATTCTGAATCCGAGTCCATTGTGTACCGAGGGAAACTCACCGAACTCGGGTCCTGTGGTCTCGCGCTCCGCGTAGTAGCGCTGCATCTTCTCCGACTTGGAACTGATGTCCTGGTTTCCGCTTCTCCTGCTCATCGCGACTTGGTTTTCCCTTGTACTAGTTTGTATAGTTTCGCGAGTCAGTTGGCCATAGGCGACCGCTTTCTTCCTTTTTCCGGACCTTCAAGACGGCTCTCGCTGGCGATTCTAAAAGTTTATTTTGCTGCGACCGATTTACCGTTCGACTCTCCTGCGTTCTCTTCGTTTTGGTTTTACGCGCTCTGCGCAGACTCAAATCGGCTGGTCTTGGCGCTTGGCCAGATTTAGGCCCTTTTGCGGCCGCCTATCGATTGCGCGTAAAGGGTATCGAAAGGAAGACTCGGATAAGGTGGCAGCACTACACGATTGGCGCGTAATTTAAAATTTCTTAGGTGGCAACTAATTTCTAGCTTCTAGGCTTATTTTAGCTAATAAAATACATAAAAGCGAATTTAAGAGTAAGATTCTGCCTTTTTATATTTATCACCTTTTTTTAAATTGATTTAGGAGCTTAAAAAGCTTCGAAATGAGGCATATCACATATTCGACAGGTGTTTTATCTCAAATTCTTCTGTTTATACTTATACACATACCGCCAATCCACTAAAAACAAACAATGGATAGGTAAATTTGACATGGAGCGCTTATTTATTTAAAAATACTTTTCAATTAAAACAATACAAACAGTAGAAAAAGAGTGAGAGTTGAGCTTCTAAGCAGCATTCACGAAGGCACCGGCGAAGAGGATGTTCTTCTTGTTCCAGATTACGTATAGGAAGGGCCGATCCGCCTGGAACTGCAGGGGGAAGGTCATCATGCGGGTCATCATGATCATGCCGGTGGCGGCCGCCGCCTCCGTGCCCTCCTCATTCACCTCGATGGTGGCCTTGTGCAGGACATTGGACACAAAGACGCCCTCGGGAGAGTCCAGGAGATTATTGAACTCGGCTCCGTCGGTGAACATTTTCGTGATGCCCAACTGAAAGTAAAAACAAATAAACACCAGGTAAATAACTAATGAGGTCATAGCCGCTAGAGGGTTTGTGATCGATAAGATAGGTGCGTCACATCCGACTGCAGCTAAAAGTTCTTCAACTTTATGGGGTTCGTGGGTTCTGATACCTGATCTTTAAAACGAGCCGGTATATGGCAGACCATTTTGCTTATCTAAGACACCTTAACGGCGATAAGCTACTAAAAATAATACACACATCAATCGAGGGAATTTTTAAGATAAGAACTCAATAAATATTTTCGGGGGCGGTTTGCAGTACTGCAACGTGTCTATAAAGTGGAATATTTCTGCGTTTTATCAGGGAATTTAGTGGGCTACTGCTAATAATAGCTGATTATTTCACCTTAAACACGCAACTTGACTTATAAGGAAGTCATTTGTTAGAAAATGCGGTCAAGGAACTGTGACAAATTATGTAAAAACGAAAGTTGACCATGAACAGAGCTTAATTGTGTCAAATGTGGGTCGCCACAAGCTAATTTCTCTAAGCAAAAGGTATTTTCAGCTTACCTGCTTCAGTTTCTCGGCCAATTCCAGGGAGTAATCCACCTTGAACTTGGGGAACTTCACATGAACCTCCTCCACGGTCAACTTATCGGCCAGATCCACCAGGTTGACGCTCTTGAGCTTCTCGGCGAGGGCGAAAATGCCCGTTCTTTCCTGCGGCAGCAGGACAAACATGGAGAGATCCGAGTCCTGGTAGGGCATCTCGAGGGCAGTGCAGCCCAAATCCTCAAAGTAGCCATAGTTGAACTTGGCCTTCTGGTTCATGTACTTCACCCTGACCTGCTCCTCCTCGCCCACCCAGAAATCGTCCTCCTCGGTGCGCTCCTCGTTGAACTTGTGCGCCCAGCTGCCCTTGAAGTGCAGGGCATTGACCAGGACGAGGCGGGTGAGGTCCGAGAAGGAGTCGGCGCTCACCAGCTCCGTGATCTTGCCCTGCGTCTTGGCATTCACCCAGGCATTGATGGCCTGGGCGGCGGCGTCGCTGAGGGCAAAGTTAATGGACTCGGCCTCCGAATGATACTGCTCCTTGATGGCCGCCTGGTAGTCCGGTTTCAGCTGCTTGCCCTCCTGAACGTACAGCTTGTTGGCCACGCGCAGCAGGTTGCTATTGCGATACTTCTCCAGGACGAACTGGAAAGTCTGGGCAACCTCAGGCGGAAAGTTTGAGACAAAGTGCAAAGCCTTGGCTATCTCGTCGGCGGTTTCGCCCTGCGAACCGGCAAAAGCCAAGGCGATGCAGGTTTGGATGGAGAAGGGCGAGAAGACCACGTTCTCCTTGAGGCCACCGGCGCTCAAAAGCTGGAAAAGTTCCGTGGTGAAACGGGCGCCGCCACGGGCAAATTCCAAATTGAAATCGAACATTTCGATGGGCTGGGAGATTGTGGGTGTGTGCTGTGTGGTCGCGGAATTGCGTGTACTTGTTTTCTGGCCCGCTGTCTACACCGGAATGTCTTAAATGCCGTTCGGGGCCACAACAAAAGTGAAAACAGGCATCGGCTGCCGGCGGATGAGTCACTTTCCAAAGCAAACATCATCAAAACAGCCGAGTAGAATAGGCGGCGTCACCGCTCCCCTTTCAGCGCCCCTGCCATCTTGGGGGTTTCCCTAAGGTCAGGACACCTATTTTTAGCCATTTTAGTATAGTTTCAGTGGTTTTCATGCAGGAATTTTGTAAACAAAGTTTTTAATCCAATTCCGCAATGTGACCGCAGGCCTTGGCGCCAAAAAATATTACCAAGAAATACTGAAAAATATACTAGCAAGAAACAACGGAAGATGGTCTTCCCAATTTGTTATCGAATTCAAAAAATTAATTCTTTTTGAAAGTAATTAAAATAAAAAATTTTTTTACTAATATACAAAACATATAAAAATAAAAAATGTATTTAAAAAGCTTTGCCCAGTGCTTAAATGGGTAGTCTAGGTTATATTTATTAGCTCAGCGAGATCAACATTTTGTTTATATATTAGGTAATATAATAACACACAAATGAAAAATAGCTCAATGCAATCACTAAAACGGAAAGCAAGATTAAAATTATGTGGTAAAAGTTAAAGCAAAGCGGACTTTTAAAATTACTTTAAAGTAAGAGCTTTGTGTCTAGTTGAATGTCTTTTAGCTTTTGGTTTTGTAACAATATCCTTAACATTTTTTTGCAAAATTTCATCTTCGATCTTAATTTTACAATCAGACTGCTCGATGGTGTCACATAGTGAAGTACCGTATTGGTCTTCCTCGAATACGTCTTCTTCCAGGGTCTCGTTTTTCACTACGCAATCGAATTGGTCCCTTTGATCCGGGCCATTAATATTATGACCCCTTTCCTTTTTAACTTGTTTAAAATATTGAGAAGGGACATCTTCATCATTGTCTGATACTCTGCACACTTGTTCCTCGAGTAAGTTCTCCTCATCCTCCTGCTCCTTTTTAAACTGGCTGTAAGATTGATTTATCTCGATGGCATTTTGCGCAGCCTGCAGGCATTCAATGCAAATGTTTTTGGAGAATGAGTCTCCTTTCTCAATTTTAAAGCCAGTGCACTTAGAAATCAGAAATGGAATGGATACTTTAACTCCTGGTATCTCTTCAAATATATTGAACATGCTTTCACTTTTTCCGAGGCAAACACGGCACATGGACGACACCATCGCCCTAAAATGAAATTGTTTATTAATAATTGTATGGGAATTGCTTAAATTTAGAATTACTCACAAATCCTAATGTTTATTTACATATTGCATTAGAGAAGAGATAATTTTTGCTGATGCAGTCGATATTAGTTGTGGAAATATTAGGGTGATTCCAGAAATGGTGGCTTATCGAAAAGGAGTTCCCCACTATATGAACATTTTATTTAAAATTGATTTTATAAAAATTAAACGGGAGACAATATCCTCTCCTCCAATCAAACGGTTCCATTATAAAAAGAACATTAAAATATGTTTGTAGAATTACTTAAATTTAAATTTTAGATTGCTAACCCCCAAATGTTATCGATTTCGATAGGAAAAAATACCAGACCCGCCCGGTTGTGGCCCGCAGCCCTGGCGCTTCTGCGCGCGCGCTTTCCAACACCGTCGCGCAACCCACCCCGCTTCCCGCTCGCCCACAAGCCATTATTTTTCGAGTTTCATCCGCAGCCACAGTGCAAAATAGGTTTATCAATTTAATTTAAGTGTTAAAGTAGTTGTAAAGTGTTTTTTAAGTTGCGCACGCGATCGAGGCCACCCCGCATGGATTCCTAGCTGTATGGTGCATGTGCCCGCCGATCGATTGGAGTTTTAGCCATTCAGTTGATGTGATTTTCCCGTGACTTTTGCGTACGAAAATCGCTTTGGGAACGGAAGAAGGTGAAGGTGAGTTGCGTTGCGTTGCGGTTGCGACTGCAGATCGGTTATGCCACTCTCGATTCGGAATGGGATTCGGAATGGGGGTTACGGAATTATGGAATCGGAATTCGCGGATCTGGGTCCTTGAACCCCCTGCAATTGCAATTCCAATGGCAAATGCACGGAACCTGAATTGCGCACTGCAGCTGCATTTTATCCGATTTCACCAAAACAGCCCGACGGCGACCTTAAGAACCAGAAAAGTGCAACAAGGAGTGGTTGCTCACCATCTTGGCATCGAATCAGCCGAACGGAGTGAACCCTTCTACCCGCCGCCTGTCACAATTTGATTTAGGCCGTTGTCGTCGCTTCAGTTGCATTTCCACATATATACATATATATATATCCATTTGCATTTCTTATTTATATGCGCTGCATGCAGTAGTTGCAACTTGTTTACGCACAATCGCCGCACAAAGAGACACCTCCAGGGCCTTTGTGCGGCCAGGGAAAACATTGTATATGTATGTATCATCCTTGTTTCCTCCTTTCTTGCAGCTGCGGTCGCTGGCTTAATCGGGAGTCCTAAAGGTTACAGCTCCACAGAATGCAGCACAACGTTCACGCCGCCCGGCCAGCGCCCCACATCCGGGCTGCCCACCATCACAGCCACAGCCACAGCCATGCCCACATGCATCTGCATCCCGGCATGGAGCAGCACCTGGCCTCCAGTCTGCAGCAGCAGCAGCCGCCCCAGCAGCCGCCACATCGCGACCATCTCCATGCACGGTAAGGAATCGATTCCAGGATACTAGGAGGGATTGGAGCTGGCATATGATATATTGTAAACTTTTTAGGCGCAGAAAGATAGTTGATAGTTTGATATTAGATTTTATACAGGTCAATACATCACTTAAATATCCCGGGAATTTTATAACCTTTATATTCATACTTGTATCTTAGGAAAAGAAGCCTCTCCTTGTTTTAATAGGACTTTAGATGATAGTTGATATTCAGATATTAGATTAGAAAAAGGTCAATAGATCACTTAAATATCCCGGGGATGTTATACCTTCATATTTATGCTTGGAAAAAGAAACCTCTCCTTGTTTCAATAGGATTTTAGGGAGGCTAAATATCCCCTTGCTTCAGTTACTCATTGTCAAGATAAATGGATTACCTGACTAGAATGGATCATCTAAGATCCTACACAGAAAATAAAATGGTAATGGTCAATTTGATATTTTTAAAATCTTTTTTTTATATTATTTGCTCAAAAAATACTAAATTCGGTATTTTTATGATATGATTAAATATCATGGTGATATGTTTGAATCTTAAATTTGACATAAATCATATCGGCTTTATATTGATATGAAATAAGGTAGAAATAACCCTATTTCATATCGGTTTTTTCTCTGTTCTGCAAAAAATTATATTTCCAAAGTTAGTGCACTTCTGCCTACCTAAACCCAAAAGTTTTGGGCCAAAACTGTATTCCTTCCTTAATTGGAAGGTTTTCCCGAACACAGTTAAATTTATACTAGACAATAGGAACCCTGAAAAGGGGTCAGATTTCCCTTCGCCTAGTTGGATCTCGTTTAATAGGTAGCCTCAACTTGGTTCCGTTGGATCTCAGAATCTCAGGATCTCAGCTCCTTTTCTTCGTTGGATCTCAGAGAGATGCCACATCGCCTGTGGATCGGATCGCCAGCTTGTCTGCGCTTTATGCGTTGCGGCAATTATGTTAATTCCTGTCACTGACAATCGGTGTGAGACTCATCATCCCATTTTCTCAACTCATAAATTATAATTTCAGTGGCTCTTTGTTCTTTCGCGCTCAGCATGACTTCCGCTCGATGATAACGGGTTTGCCCGGCCGACTGCGCTGCAATTATCCTTGACGTTCGCGAGGATCCTTCGGCCTCTCGGCCTCTAGTCCTCTAGGAGTTCAGGCTCCTCGCTCGCATTGTCTGCGATCATATGTTTTGTCCAACTCTCAGTTGAACCTCTCATCCAGTTCCGCCTTCAGTTGCGTTTTGCCTGCCGCTCGGATCGGGTCGCTCACATGAATTTACCGGCGGTTGAAGTAAACTTGAAGTTTTAACGCACTTTTGCGTACGATTTCCCAACGATCATGAAACACTTTCATCAGTGCCAAGTGAGAGGTGAAAAATGCAGAAAGATTGTAGTCACATAAAATCAATTGGGATCTAATAAGTCCGCCATATAATACAGTGAATGGTTTAAGATAAGATCTACTAAATAGTATTGAATCAAATCTGTTTACCAATATAATCTGCAAGTGAAAGGTGAACAAATTAACAGAATAACTTTTGTTGATTTATAAGAAACAAACCCCCGCCAATTAAGTCTTGAAAATAATTTTAAATTGTCGACAAAAATTGGATTAGTTTCTAAAAAACCTAGCTTTCATTTTATAGTTCAAAAGTTTATTAAACTGAAAGATATTTCAATCTGAAACACAAAAAGAGGATGTCAAGCCCTATCTAAAGATCTTAAAGGATTGTTAACAACTGTTTTTAGAGAACTGTCGCTATATCCACCAACCAGATCCAATTAATTACCTCTACCTTCTTACCTAGGACATTTTTATCGCATATCAACTGATCCTAATCACAAATTGCCCATATCAATGTTAATTTGAAGGCTTGTTCCCGTACTGATTTAGCGATTATAAATTGCCGAAAATATTTCTTCGTCTTGTGAAATGTACGAGGCTGTAGGTAAAAGCGATTGAGTGTTGTCCTACCCTCGATTGAGGGTAGGGAGCAGAAGGAGCAGCATGAGCAGGGTGTCGCAGTAGGTGCGTCTCAATTGAAACTGACAGTTGGCGAAAAATGACACGATGCGTAAGAGAATGCGGCTTTTGTGCTTTGTTAGGATTTTGTCCATTGTTCAGCCTCGCCGCTGTTGTCTGCGATTCCGCAGAAACAACAACACGAGGCGGAAAGGAGGGGATGGAGAAGGAGAAGCTTCTAGGACCTCGCTCATTGGTGTTTTTGTTTTTCCCG